ACAATGGTCTTAGCCACATTATTGGCTCGCTCATTCACTCAACCAACATTTGTTAACCACTGGAGTTTAATTTCAATAAGGAGTTAGCAAAAAGGACCAAGAAGAAGAAAATGTTGAACTTTGGGTTTTTCATATCATCTTTTAAAAAAGATTTATTTTGATTGCAAAGTCAGATATATAGAGAGAAGGAGAGACAGAAAAATATCTTCTGTCTGATGATTCACTCTCCAAGTGACCGCAATGGCCGGTGCTGTACCCATCAGAACCAGGAGCCAGGAGCTCTTCCAGGTCTCCCATGCAGGTGCAGGATCCCAAGGTTTTCGGCTGTCCCCAACTGCTTTCCCAGGCCACAAGCAGGGAGCTGGATGGGAAGTGGAGCTGCTGGCATTAGAACCAGCACCCGTATGGAATCTTGGCGTGTTCAAGGTGAGGACTTTAGCCTCTAGGCCACCATGCTGGGCCCTCTGTATCAATCTGAATAGCATTTATTAGGGCCATGGTTGTGGCATAGCAAAGTAAAGCTGCGGTCTGAAACACTGATATCCTATATGGGTGCCGGTTAATATCCCAGCTGCTCCTTTCCAGCATAGCTCCCTGGACCTGGAGAAAGCAACAGGGGATGGCCCAACTGTGCAGGCTCCTGCCCCCACATGAGGCCTGACTGGGGCGCCTGGCTCTGGACTGCCCAGCAGTGACCATGTAGTCATCTGAGGAAAGAACCAGTGGACAGAAGACATCTCTACCACTGTCCCCCTCCATGTCTCTCTAACTCTGACTTTGCAAATAAGTCTCTGGAAAAATTGAGCATTTCTTAGGAATGTTTATTGTAACTGTGCTGCGTTTTAATCCTTTTCACGGGAATTAGCTCCCACCACAGGGAAAGGGGTTTAAAGGGTTGTTATGTAATGCTGTGCATTAGCCACGTTGCACCCTCTCGACACCTTCACAGAGGAGAGGGTTCTGGCTTCCAGTGGCTCTGTCAGAGCCCCACACAACCTCTCCTGGGGGACTCTCCTCCCGTCCCACCGATCTGTGGTCCCAGGACCACACCCAGCCTTCGCCCCCACTCTCTGAATTTCCCAACTCCCAAGTATTTGTCACATTGGGTTATTATCACACCCCAACTCACTTTCACTCACCCAAATGGTGATGTGAAAATTACTCATGCTGCTGGCGACTGTATAACAGGTCTGCAGTGTTTTTGTCTGGGTGGCAAATAGCACGCCTCCAGACTATGAACGCAAGTGGCCAGGACTGGGTCACAAGGCGGTACTGAGATATGCAGGCAAAGGAGCTGTAGGGAGAAGGGCAGAAAGCCCTAAGCTCACTCAGCACACGACTCAGTGGTACCACTATGAAGAAACTGAGCCGCAGAAGGCTACAAAACGAGTAAGAGGCAGACAGGACGAAGCTCCCCGAAGTGCAGGCAGGGCGGTGGTAACAGTGAACACGGTCCCAGACAGGCAGTGATGCTCCATCCAGCTAGCAGGGGTTGGAGCTTTGTGATCCCGAACAGGTGGATCCTCTCTGTGCCACAGCCAGTCTCACGTGTCCAATGGGCTTAATGACAACAAGAGGCAGGATGGGGGTGAACCTCAACTAAGTCATGTGTGTATTCCACATAACACAGAAAATGCTCAACACACTTCCTACACTTCCTTTAGTGACGTTACTAAAGGGGGCCATTAGGACAAGGCCCAGGGCAGGTGTGGTGGAGCAGGGAGGCCTGCAGATACTGCATCCCAGGGCTGGTAGGGGTCCCGGCGCCTCTGCTTTCGACTCCAGCTTCCTGCTAACAGGCTTCCTGGGTGGGAGATAGCGTGACGGCTCAGTACCGAGAGCCCCGCCACCCAGGTGGAAGAGCACGATGGATTCCTGGCTGCTGTGGGGACTAGGGCAGTGAATCAGAGGATGGACCATCCCTATCTCCATCTCTCTTCTTCCAAATGTTATTAATAAAGATAAAATACTTTTGAGAAGAAGTTGCCTGTTAGGATGATTATAAAATCATTTTTTAATATTTATTTTTCTTGGAAAGGCAGATTTACAGACAAAGGAGAGAGAGGAAGATCTTCTGTATGCCGGTTCACTCCCCAAGCGGCCGCAATGGCCGGAACTGAGCCAATCCAAAGCCAGGAGCCAGGGGCCTCTTTTTGGTCTCCCATGCAGGTGCAGGGTCCCAAGGCTATGGGCTGTCCTCTACTGCTTTCCCAGGCCACAAGCAGGGAGCTGGACGGGAAGTGGAGCCACTGGGATACGGGATCCTGGTGCGTGCAAGATGAAGACCTTAGCCAGTAGGTTTCCATGCCGGACCCAGAAAATAATTAATCTTGCAAAGTGACGCTACAAGGAGGCAGAAAAGCCAGTCTCAGGAACTGAAGAAGGATCAGAGCAGCATGGAGAGGAGGAGTTCCTGTGGCTTTTCTGCTGTTGGAGCCTGGACACCTTGTCCTCTGGTATGCAGACTTCCTCGGGCGGAGCTGGTGCTCCTCCAGCTGGGTCTGCATCGTGGTTTGGAGACAAAACTATCACCGTGGCTGTGAAAGCATCACAAGCACGTGCACTGATGTTCAATAATACAACCTTCTCTGTCGAGCGCCGACATCAAGTTGGCCTCCAGGCAGAAAAGCTGGAAGCCAAGACTCGAGCAGCGGCCTAAGCAACGCCATAGGTAGCTGTAGCGTCTTTCCTCTACACCGCATTTGAACTGTGTCGAAGTCACCACACAGTTAAGGGAATGGAGGCTTTTTCTGCATGTCTCCAGGAACCAACTCTGAGGCTGGAACATGCTGAACACCACTCAGTGACATCACCAAATAGATTGAACAAAAGGAATAAATCAATCTTATTTTTAGAAATTCTTCTTTCATGCACAACAACAAACATGCACGGAGATGGTATCAACACGGCTCCTGTTACTGGCCTTGAAGATGCCATGTGGTGTGCGCTGCCCCCCACCATCAGTGTCTGGTTCCAGCTCCCTGGCGGTGACGGAGCCCCTGGCTTCTGGCTGTTGCAGGCACTTTGGTAGTTAACCACTGAACAGATTTGTCCCTCTGTCTCTGTGTATTTCTCTAACTTGAAAATAAACTTGGAACATTTTAAAGCCCTGTGATCTTATTTTTATAGCTTTTCACAGGTTCATTGGGATTTTCTACACACACAATTGCATCACCTGCAAATCCAAAATTAGTTCATCTCTGTTTCCAGTCTCAACACTTCCTCACCAATAATACTGCGTAGAATGCCAGCCACGAGATGCACTTGCTCTAAGTAAGACCCACTTGGGAACTCGTGAAGCTTTCTCTGCTGAGTTGCCACCTAGAAAGGCCTCAGAATGGCGCTGTGCCTCTGCAGGAGTGCGTTTTCCTTTGTGAGCCTGACAGGAGCAGGAGTGGGAGGCATGTGTGTTCCCAAGGAACCAGCTCCCCAGGCTGCTGCCAGGTCGGTGGGCAGGAACGAGGTGTCTCTGCAAACTGGCGCTGCCACTGTGCGTGCCACCTCCCCTCCTATTTCTCCTGGAAGGACATGCATGTGCATGTCTTATCTCCCTGCAAGGGCAGCTGGGAAATGCCCCATCTGTCTGGCAGGGCAGCTAGAAAAAGCAACGACTGGGGCTGCTCATCCACCTACCGCAGTCTCCAAGGCCAAGCACAATGATACTTGCACTGATGTCATAGTCCGACTCGTGTCTAGACACTGTTTCCCGTGTGCTCACATCCCAGGAACAGAGAGATGCAGGCAGCGCAGTCTGAGGTAACCCTGATGCACACCTGAACGGCCCCCGAAGGCACCCCTGTGCCACTGCCAAGCACTCAGATGGACCAAGCAGAGCCACCCTAGAAGATGGGCACAGGATGTGACATCATGCATTCTTTGCACCCCCTATCTCCTCCACACCAACATCTCAGATAAATTCTGTCCCAACAACACGACATCTAAGTGAACATTCGAGAAATCTTTGAGAGACTAGATCTGAAGTGGGCAATTGGCCAGCGGAATCCTGGAGCAGCAAATGGTTGTTTTCTGTACTTGGCGGAAAGAAACCCAAGAGAGGCACATGGGATTGTGTGGGGTCAGTTCAGAACATTTATGCCCTAATCTAACACTAGACACACTTCGAAGGCACCGCTGCTACACCTAAGTGGACACAGGAGGTGATCCTGGCGTTGGAACATCTCAGGCAAAGCCTGCCAGAACTGTCCACCAGCTCAGAACAATTTGTTCACTTCACTTAGAAATGTGTTTTGGCTAATAAATCTAAATTTATTTTGTAGTAGTCATTTTTGTTAATGGAAGTGTTTTCCAGATGTTGCCTAAGTCTAGTCAGCTGGGCCTTCTTCCAGTAAATGAGGAAAGCTTGATTTCATAGGTTGTCACTGTTGATTTTGTCTAACCTTTGGACTAATTGGTTAAACCAGAAGACCTGCACTGATATATAAGACTTCCAGGATACTGGAGAACCTCATCTCTTCTTTCACAGGTAAGTGCCAACGCTAGCCTGTTTTATGGAATTAAATGTATTTTTATGAAAGGTATTTGAAACACTTTTTAGGATAGTAGTTGGAGAGCTCTGAAAGGACTCAGATTTATACAATGCACCTGTTAAATTGGGGATTTAAGGGAAACTTAGAACAATGATTCTACTATGCTTGTTAAATTCTACTGCAGCCAGCTAATTTTTTTTCCCAGGATAAGATTGCACTGTAAGTACATGCTATACTTTGTACAGTTTTAAGATACGTCTGTGTTGTTTTGGAGATTTCTAAAGTTTCTAACATAACTGAAGGCGACTTGATGATTTTTGTGTGTAAGGTACAATCTAATGGTCAGCTATTTTGTATAGAGATAAAGCTCATTGCTTTAGACTTGTGTCAGGGATGGGGCTTTTCAAACGTTAAACTGCATTTTAAAAGTTACTGAGCTACTGTGTGTGCCAAGCAGAAGGCAGTGGGGGAACAGAAGAGCAGCTGTGTGACTCCTTCCCTCTTGGTCCCAGGACCGGGCAGCGTCTGGACACAGCCATGGAGTGGAGAGTGCTTCCCGCGGGCCTGCTGCTGCTCTGCTCTGCTGTCCTCATTCAGCAGGCCTCATCTAAAGGTACCTCAGTCCCCAACGCACTTACCTCCTACAGCCACCTCTGATCTCTGCGATCACAAAACAGGTCTCTAAAAACGCATACTTAACACACAGCATAACCTTTCAAGGATGCAAATGTTGCAGCATATCTGAGGAGCACTAGGACCTTGCCTGCTCTTCCTGTGTTAGTTCATATCTTTCCAGAAGTTCACAACTTTCACACAGGATAGTTTTAGAGTCCATTATTTCTGTGATTCTCCCCAGAAGTTTAACTAGTGCAGGTACTAACCTGACAAGCCTGAGGGAGCTCTCGGCATCATAAAGTACCTGAGAACATCAGTGTTTCAACAGCATGCCATTGTAAACATATATTGAGAAAGTAACCTTTTGCATCTCATCAGCTCATAAGTCACTTACCCTGACACCAAGCAGACACAGACCGTGTTGTGATGGCCTGCAGAGCGCTCCGAACGGCTTTTTCCACAAGGACTGTTCATGCACACTCGGGGCAGTGCTGGCAGCTATGCCCTTGTTTATCACGGTGCTGAGCAGCTCACGGACCTCGCGAGGCAGTCGGTCTTGGATGGGCAGCGCAGGCACACACCGGAGGACCACCCTGCAGACGAGCCCCTCAGCACAGCCCCCCTCTCATTCATGATGAGTGGAATTACTTTTCCCCACTGGACAATTCCTGTAGCACAGCTAACACTCACCAGACCTGAGCAGGAGCGATGACGGCCTACGCGAGTGTGGCTGCAGAGCTGCTTAGACAAGGAAGGTGGGAGTCACACCGAGCAGGGAGAGCTGGCCCGTTGCCAGGGCCCCAGCGGCGCTGCGACAAGCCTGACAGCGCAGGCTGCATTTCCGAACCCACCTTTTCTTCCGTAGGACCGTGGGTTGCTTAACTCGTTTCAATAAATTTAGTGAGATGAAGAGCAAGGAACATAAAACAGATTTCTACTCTCTGAAAGTAGACTCTTCCTGTGTTGTGTTGTCGGCTTCTCTTGCTTCCTGGACTCTTCTCATTCTTCCTTTATATATAATATATGTATTTATATACATACACTATATATGCATCTTGTATGTATCGTGCACATGCATATGTATGCAGAAAGTTCTGAAAGTTGTCCTCGTGTTTGTCATTTTATTCGTGTATTAAGACATTAACTTTCCCGGACTCTTTTCTTTTGAGATTTTTCCAGTGTGTGCCAACATCCCTCTATGGATTTAGGACATTGCACCTGCCAATTTCTATTCCAGAGATGGATTCCGTTGCATTCCTGTGGTTATCTCTGTTAGATTTTTTTTTAAGGTGCTATTTTGCAAGTGAATTGAGGGAAGTCATGCTTTGTTTACTTTTGGCCCAGAACTCTGAGGCTTATTTTAGTGCCCAGGCACTATCTCAAGGGCTCGCTATTCACAGCCACCAAGGAGCAGAAACCTAGTACAGTCTGTGCTTGGCAGAACTGGGAGGAAAACTGGGCTTTCAAATATTATTTTGTAGTTTCAATCCTGGGTGGGCTGTTTTCTAAGGATGACCGTATAAGTTACTATCCAAATAATGACACTCATTAAGCATGAAGAAAGTCATCACAAATTATCAGTAGGCATTCGTTGACTAACAGCACACGTGTACTGGAGCTCACATGAGCCCTGTGCTTTAGAGCACATTGGCACCATATCCAGCCTCCCCGTCCCCAAGCAGGGACTCCTGGGACATTTCCAAGCATCTTGGAGAAGCTGGTGCTGGAATGATTCCTATTGGCCATGGGTAATCAGCAGTAAGATCTCCAGGCACTTTGAGTCTGCCTTCCAGGGGACCAGGAATCTCTCCCTCTTTGTGCCTTTGTCTTCTCCAACTGTTGAAGAACAAGGCCATGCAGGAATTGAGGCCTGAGGACCCCCTGGGACTTCTGCTAACTGCCACCCCCAGCAGGTTGCAGTGTGAACAAGCCTGCCCCCTGTTGTGTGGCGTTATCTTCCTTAGGGTTCCCCTGCCTGCCCAGGGCTTGGGCCACGTTCACCCTAGTGTTGTATCATTTTAGATTTATCAAGCTGTGCAGGGAGATGTGGGGAAGGGTATTCTAGAGATGCCACCTGCAACTGTGATTATAACTGTCAACACTACATGGAGTGCTGCCCTGACTTCAAGAAAGTCTGCACGGTGGGTAAGTGCTGAGTGCTGGCACATCCTGTGAGCCATGGCGCCCCTGGCAATGCTGCTTTCCCACCTGTCTCACTTCCTTCGCTTGAGTGCCACTCCTTTCACCTGCCTCAACGTCACTGTGCCCTGCACCTGAGGATGTGTCAACGCTTGTGATCACTGTGGGAGGCGTGGGGAGCCACTTGCACCAGGCCGCTATGTCACCTGGGCCAAACGTGTTTTCAAGGGAAGCTTACTGCCAGGACCCAGGGGTCATCAGGTAACAAGTAACTGTTGACTAACAACCAGACGCAGTGGCTAAGGGAGGCCTTTCAACAGCTGCAGCAGAAGAACTGATTTGACTGTTTGATAGCAATGTGTTTGTAACTTATCTGAGAGAGTTACTTGGACAGGGAAGGAGCAGTGATTTCAATGAGTTTCAGCTAAAATTCAAAGGATCTGAACTTCAGATTACGACTGGTCTCTTTCCTCAACGTATTCATGTTGTTCACTCAGAACTGTTTCAACATGCTCAATTTATGAAAATTGGATTTGGCATTTTTAACGTTGCATCTGCATTAGAACGTGCAGGTGAAGCTGGTAAATACATCATGCCCTTTCTGTGTTGGACAGTCGGTAAGGCAAGCGTCCCTTGGCAAGTGACTTAATCTTAAGCCAAGGCCTTTTGTGTGATGATCAGGGTTTGGATGGGCTCTCACCCAGTCTGTCGCAGTGGAGACTGTCCGTCCTGGACACTCCCCCAGGCATGCTGAGCCAGGCCTTGCCAACATTCAGCTACTGCACACGCACTCCATGGCTGCAGTGTGAGGGGCAGTTTCCGTCTCAGGTAGCAATGGGGTGGCAGTGGACTCTTCTGGAGCCTCCGTGGGCTGGGAGAGTTGGCCCAAGTCACCTTGACTTTGGCTGTCACCAGTTTGGAACATCATCCATTTGGCTGCTGAATGATGTACTTCAAACTCCAAATCAAAGACTTAGATGTGCTCCTTTGAATGCTGGTCAGAACAAGGGGAGAAAGGCTACAAACACACAGGACTAAATTCATCAGCACTAACCCTCTCCATTCTGTTCTGCTCTGGGCAGAGCTCTCCTGTAAGGGCCGCTGCTTCGAGTCCTTTGCCAGAGGCAGGGAGTGTGACTGTGATGCCCAGTGTAAGACGTACGGCAAGTGCTGCTCCGACTACGAGGAATTCTGCCAAGAAGGTAAGCTGGCCCCAGCAGGTGTGCACACCTACCTCACCCATCAGTGTCACATCAGTCTGACAGGCGGGCTATCTGTCATCTTGACTTTACTACCACATAAGCCTCTATGAACACTCTAGTTTCACGAAGATGAATTGAAGACGAGAAGTGGCTGGCTCAGCCAGGCTCCAGGAGCGCAGGAGGTGGCTGCTGAGTAACAGGCCTGGGCCAAGCACAATGCTATTTCTTCAGCTGTGGTTCAGGCTCAGGTTAAGTCAACTAGAACTTGTTAAAAAGTATGCTGCTTCCCGTGTGTAGTCTGCTCCATGGCGCCCATTCCAATGTCTGTGCCTGACAGAATCCATAAGAAGGGGAAGACCCACCTTTTTTGGTGTTAGTCTTGAAGGGGACCCAGAGGCTGTCACAGAATTCTCCAGAGGCTGCAAAAAAGATTTGAACAGTACAGTTAGTGAATGAATTGCTTTCCTTTAGCACAAGCTTGGTTAAAATGAGGAGACTGTGGAGGTGACAGTGAAAACAGGCATAATCACCTTAGTGCTTGTTTCAACCGAGGCGCACCTCCTGCTGCTTTGGAGCTAAAGTGTTGGTCAGCAGAGTGTAACTGCTTAGTGTTTTCATTGGAAAGCATTCCTAAACCAATGGAACCCCGGGCTCAGCGCTCCTGCAGCTCTCCCCAGGTACCCATCACTCAACCCCATAGCTGCCTTGGCTGGAGACCAAAAGCTAAGCCTGTGCTGGGGGCAGAGAATGGGTGGGTAGGGAGGGAGGAAGGTTCCAGAAAGTGTCCAGTTAGATGACCTTAGCTCTAGGTGGGGCTTCACTGCCAGGGGCTCAACTCAAAGGAGAGGAGCTACCCACGGTATGTACAGTGTAGCGAGCAAACCTGCTCCAGGCCTGCCCGAGCTCCTGCTTGCTGGCTTGGGTGTCTCTGCAGACCACATCTGTCCAGCAAGCACAACAGTCCATGCGTTTGCAACGAGAGGACTGGGCCCGCAGGGAGCTCTTCACCTGGTGCCTGCTGGAGTAGGGTGGGGCTGCTGCTCACGGTGGCGGAAGGCACTCCTGTGAGGGGGGAGGAGGTGGAGGGCAGCCCCAGCTCACAGTGCATGGAGAGACACCCTAGAGAACCGAGCAGCAAGCAGGATCACGACCTTCCCTCCGAGCCCCCGACTCAGGAGCCCTGTCGCTGTCCCGCAGCGACAGACTTGGTGCACGGAGCCGATAATAACACGCGTGTACCCTGACTGATTGTCAAAGCCGAAGTTTATTAGGGGCATCAGACTTTATACACTGAGAGTCCGTACTGTTTCCCTCTCTTGATTGGAATTCCTTTTGTTTTGTATATTACACCAGGTGTTCTCATTTACATGCTGTTTATACCAAAGGTAGTCATTTGGTTGTTGTCATGCAAATACTGTCCAATGAACTGCAAACCTGTGCTCGCTGACCTTCCAGGCTCACAATGTCCTCCTATAGAGCCCCCCATCCTTTCCTTCTGGTTCCCACTGTTCAACTATCCAAAGGGCCCGTGGCTTCTCTTCCAGAAAGGAAAAAGGCCCGGGAAGGCGAACAGGAAGATTCATGCCAAAGTGACAGTTGCTTCCCTGTGGGAGGGGCAAAAGCATAATATGAAGGTGGGAGATCTCCACAAGGAAAAACACTGCTTGTAGGACTTTGTCATTAAGAACAAATGAAAGGTCAGCAGACATCCAACATGAGACTTGAATGAACATGCAAACTGGAAAACTCTAATTATTTCCTCTTCCCAAGAGCATGGCTAGCCTGTTACTCACATGCAGTTGCCTTTTTGATTATGCAAGGGTGGCATGGCTTATGTTCATAGAATCAAGTATTTTCCAGGTACGTCAACACTTTTACAAGTCATGTTGCCAAAACGTCTATTTGCAGGTGAGAAGGGGACACTCAGGAGGTTAGCCTACCTGCCCAAGGTCACAAGGTAGCCACTTCCAGGCCTAGGACGGGGGTCCAGGGCTTCCATTGCTGAGCCCTTGCTGTGCCATCATCTGTACACTTCGAAGCCTGGTACTGTGTGTTGGCACTTGCCCAGAGCTGACCGGTTTAGTGACTAGCGCTGGGCTAGATCCTGCCTGCCCCGGATTTTGCCAGCATCTCCTCAGGTGCATTCATGCTTTACACAGTGAAAGTTACTGATGAGTCTAAACAAGATGTTAACTCGCCTGTCTTGCTTGGCCTCAGTGCACAATCCCACATCACCACCAACTTCCAAGCCGGCACCTCGGCCTCCAGGAGCACCTCAAAGCATCAAATCAACAACTAAACGCTCGCCCAAAGCACCAAACAAGAAGAAGACTAAGAAAGTTATAGAATCAGAGGAAATAACAGAAGGTAGGAAGATGACAGATGTCACAAAAGGAGTTTTCTTAGGTATGACAGCCTGCAGGCAGACTGCTTACATTAAGCTGTTCTCAGAGAACAGGGGCCTCTTGTGGATTGCAAAAGGCCCAGTGCACTTTTGTTGCTCACTTTAAGCCTCAAAGTTGAAGCCACAGGCTGAATGTTTGTGTATTTACCAAACCCAGCATGACTTTGGGTTAACAAGCAGAAGGAACAAATCTTACTCATTATTATTTACAAAATAATCAGATTCTGTGAGATATTCCGGAGGTACAGGAAAATCAAGGGAAAATGATAAAGCTGCTACTTTTATGATCAAGTGCAGGTGCCTTGGTTTTAACTAATTAAAAGGTCAATTGATCGTATTACTGATAAATTAAAAGCAGAACCTGCTGACATTTGCAGCACAGGCCACATCTCTAACTGTGTTTGGACTGGCGGTTCTTTCTTTCGTTTTCAATCACAATTGGTGTGATCAACCTTTTTATTTGATTTATAGAACATTCTGTTTCTGAAAATCAAGAGTCCTCCTCCTCCTCTTCTTCTTCCTCTTCAACTATTCGGAAAGTCAAGTCTTCCAAAAACTCAGCTGCTAATAGAGAATTACAGAAGAAACCCAAAGGTTTGAGCATTGATAAAGATCGCAGACTATATCAATGCCATGTTACAACAGTGTGTGTCGGCAGTGACCCGGGGGCACTTTGACATGGGGGGGAGGTAAATGACTAAATGCACTGTTTTAGAAAAGCATCAAAGTAGGTCCTTCCAGGAGACATCAGCGCCCCTCCAGGAAGCCACCCTGGGGAGCCGTGCTTAAGAGCGGCTGTGGAGGCTCCAGACAAGGTTTTACGCTGTTCTGTCATTCCTGTCTCCTGATGCCAGCTGACTTCTTTCACCTAACTTAACCTTCCTGTGTCTCCAGCCCCATCCCAGCCTCCTTCATTTCACACCATACCCAACTGCAAGTGTGCCATAAATACCAATCCACTGACTTCTTGTAAACCTCGGTGGACAAGCACTGTAATGCTCTAGTTCCTACACCACCTTCATTATTTGGCCATATTTGGCCAATTCCCTTCTAGTGGACAAGGCACGTGGGGGCAGGTTCTTGCTTCCCTGAAGAGATCTCTTTGTTCTATGCTTTATTATTCCCCGGCATTCTAAAATATATTCTCTTTCTTGCGGACGCACTAGATTTCCATAATTTCCTCTGAAGTCTTCCCCCTGGCTGAAGTCTAGGATGATTAGCCTAGCCAAGCGTAATACATGTTTGCCCAGTGGAATACATCCCCATGTAGTACTACTGGGCTCTAGTTCACCAATGGTGTAGCGCAATGGGAAATTCCATTCAACTCTCGTTGCCATGGCATCTGTATCACTTCTCTGTATCACCTGGAGCTGGCAGAGACAGACAAGCAGCCAACAGCCCTGTGGGTGAACAGGGCTCAGCAGCCTTGGGGTGGACTCGGGTCACCAGTGCAGTTGGAACTCTGATTCCAGGAGGAAGGGACACTTCTAGGCAAGGTGAAATGAGAGGAAGAAAGAAAGGGTGAACAAACAGACCTGTGTCATTGGTCATGTTGGTCGTTTCGAAGTTGCCACTGGCTTCCATGCACTGGTTGTATAGCTCCATTTGGGCTTTTTCATCCCTTTTCTCATTTACTCCCTAAAATAGCCCAATAAGACAGTTTGAGCATTTACCTTTTTTTTTTCCAGCAAACTAATGACATATTAAGGGGTAGCAACTTGCCTAGAAACCCACTAGTCAATAATAAAGATGTGATCTTGTGTCTCCATTCAAGGAAAACAACAACAACAACTATTCAAACTAACAAGATGTTTATGATTTTCTCTAGTGAAAGACAACAAGAAAAAAAGAACTCCTAAAGAGGAACCTAGTTCAAAGCCACCGGCAGCAGATGACATTGGAAGTGGACTGGACAGTGGTGACCCTAAGCCCACCCCAACGCCCGTTGTCTCCACCACACCACGTAGTAAGGTTACCTCACCTCCCAAAACTACAACGGTAAAGCCAACAAATCCTAAACCTAGTTCTCCACCTAATCCTGATAAATCCAAAGAGAAACCTCCCAAAACCAATAAGGAGACTACAGTTGAAACTAAGACTACTGAAACAAACAAACAGACGTCAAGCAGTGCAAAAGAGAAGACAACCTCAATTAAAGAGACACGGACTGCAGACAAAACACCTGCTAAAGATTCTACACCCTCACCGAAACTCCCTGCTAAGCCTACTCCCAAAGCAGAAACTACAACGAAAGCCCCTGTTCTCACGACTCCTAAAGAACCTGCAGCCACCACCCCCAAGGAAGCTGCTCCTACCACCACTAAGCAGTCAGCCCCTACTACCCCTAAGGGGGCAACCCCCACCACACCCAAGGAGCCTGTTCCCACCACAACCAAGGAGCCTGCTCCCACCACAACCAAGGAGGAGCCTGCTCCCACCACGCCCAAGGAGCCTGCTCCCACCACGACCAAGGAGCCAGCCCCTACCACAACCAAGGAGCCTGCCCCTACCACGACCAAGGAGCCTGCTCCCACCACAACCAAGGAGCCTGCTCCCACCACAACCAAGGAGGAGCCTGCTCCCACCACAACCAAGGAGCCTGCTCCCACCACGACCAAGGAGCCTGCTCCTACCACGACCAAGGAGCCTGTTCCCACCACGACCAAGGAGCCTGCTCCTACCACGACCAAGGAGCCTGCTCCTACCACACCCAAGGAGCCCGCTCCCACCACAACCAAGGAGCCTGTTCCCACCACACCCAAGGAGCCTGCTCCCACCACGACCAAGGAGCCCGTTCCCACCACAACCAAGGAGGAGCCTGCTCCCACCACGCCCAAGGAGCCTGCTCCCACCACGACCAAGGAGCCCGCCCCTACCACGACCAAGGAGCCTGCTCCCACCATGCCCAAGGAGCCTGTTCCCACTACGACCAAGGAGCCTGCTCCCACCACGACCAAGGAGCCTGCCCCAGACTCCCCCAAGGAGCCTGTTCCCGACTCCCCCAAGGAACCTGCCCCCAACTCTCCCAAGGAGCCTGTTCCTGACTCCCCCAAGGAACCTGTTCCCGACTCCCCCAAGAAGCCTGTTCCTGACTCCCCCAAGGAGCCTGCCCCCGACTCTCCCAAGGAGCCTGCCCCCAACTCTCCCAAGGAGCCTGTTCCTGACTCCCCCAAGGAACCTGTTCCCGACTCCCCCAAGAAGCCTGTTCCTGACTCCCCCAAGGAACCTGCCCCAGACTCCCCCAAGAAGCCTGTTCCCAACTCTCCTAAGGAGCCTGTTCCCGACTCCCCCAAGGAGCCTGTTCCTGACTCCCCCAAGGAGCCTGCCCCCGACTCCCCCAAGAAGCCTGTTCCTGACTCCCCCAAGGAGCCTGCCCCCGACTCCCCCAAGAAGCCTGTTCCTGACTCCCCCAAGGAGCCTGTTCCTGACTCCCCCAAGGAACCTGCCCCCGACTCCCCCAAGAAGCCTGTTCCTGACTCCCCCAAGGAGCCTGTTCCTGACTCCCCCAAGGAACCTGCCCCCGACTCCCCCAAGAAGCCTGCCCCCAACTCCCCCAAGGAGCCTGTTCCTGACTCCCCCAAGGAGCCTGCCCCCAACTCCCCCAAGGAGCCTGCCCCTGACTCCCCCAAGGAGCCTGCTCCAAGTACTTCTCAGACACCTGCTGCAGCTACCACCACGCAGCCTCCCACTCAACCAAATGCTGAACCTTCTACTCCAAAGGCAACTACTTCTGTACCTGAAGTAACCACAGCAACCAAAATGACAACTACTACTGAAGAGTCTACAAACAAACCTGAAGAATCATCAGACGCAGATACTGACGCCAAAGCAACTGATGCCAAACCTCCAAAACCAACTAAAGCACCGAAAAAGCCTACTTCCCTCCCAAAGCCAACCAGAGCACCCAAGAAGCCTATCTCCACCAGGAAGCCAAACACATCAAAAGTGAAGAAACCAAAGACTACTCCAACCCCCCCAAAGACAACTACACCATCCTCTTCAGAATTGAACCCTACCACTACGGCAGGAGCCCTGCTCCAAACCACCACCAAGCCCACTTCTACCCAGAAAGTAGATATCGCTGAAGCAAACCCGGGAGAAAAGCCTTTTGTGATCCCCGGGCCCCCTGGGTTCATCCCTGTAGTCATCCCAGGTGGCGGGTACCTGGTGCGGGAACCCAGCGAACGCATCATCACTAGTCCCATGCTTTCAGGTAATCATTTGCTACCTGCACTTTTAAACTTGATCATGTCCTTAGTATCACGTGGCAGACATATTACCTGACCCCTCACCACATTAACCCATGGAGTCACACAGCTTCCCTGCAGGAAAGCAAGAGAAAAGGTAATCATGTTTACTTAGTCTCCAGAAAATGGAGCACTTACTGAGGGTTAGAAGTTCAGTATATCTGTGTCTGTAAGCAGCAGAAATGGCATTACACAGAATGTTGCTAGTTTTACCTGGTAGCCTAGCCTTAAAGTATTAATGCCAAGCAAAAATTTGGATTCTTCCTTTTCCAAACCAAAGGGTACTCAGATTGAAGCACATCTGCTCAAGTACCAATTCCAAAGTCTAATTTACATGAAGAAAGAGGTAACCTGGTCCATTCCAATTCATAACTTATTTCATGTAATACTTTTTAAGACATTATTATGAAATGTAAGAATCTTAAATTGCACCCTTCAGAAACTTCTCTAAGAAATGGAACCCTGTATAGGATTTGAAAAGAATAGGACATTCCTGTTACTCTGTTCTGGGTCAATTCCTGTTTTGTTAACTTGTCCTAGATGAGACCAATCTGTGCAACGGTAAGCCAGTAGACGGACTGACTACACTGCGCAATGGGACGCTGGTCGCATTCCGAGGTGAGCTGGGTGCCTAACTTGAGCTCTTACTGTCCTTTGGCCCAGGTGTATGGTCAGTGCTGGTCAGTGGGATGGATGAACTCTATTCATGAGAACCTGAGAACAGCAGTTACAACAATGAACAAAATGAGACGTTAAAATACCAAATACCTCAGAATCTTCCTCATGGCTCAAGTTCGCATTTTTCATCAGTCAAGATGATACCAAGGCTGGTGTTCCTTGCTCTCTCTGCCTTGGAAACATCTCCTTGGTGACGGAGCTTGCTCTTCAGCAGAGCAACATGACAGCAGCCATTTCAGGTGGCTTCTCTCCTGGGCTCAGCTAATTGATTAACCTGTAAAAGAAACCAATTACACTTACACAGTAGTGGCTAGAAAGCTTTACGACTCTTTGATCTTAAGCTGAGGTTTAGTAAATGGCTCTTAATACACGAGGCAAGGGGCTCATTTCAGCTTAAGCCAAGCCTGAATTAACAGTTCCCACTCAGAAATGCTTGAATTCGGCCTTCGGTGTGCCTACATTTCTTGTCACGCAGTGCGTGTCTTGCTCTAGTGTAACATTAAACAGGTTGGTTGTTTGGGGCCATTTTCATACTTAGCTTGTAGGCTGACAGATCTTTCCCTTAGGTCATTATTTCTGGATGCTGAACCCGTTTCAACCACCATCCCCGCCTCGCCGAATCACCGAAGTCTGGGGCATACCGTCCCCTATTGACACAGTTTTTACCAGATGCAACTGTGAGGGAAAAACTTTCTTCTTTAAGGTAACCAAAATGTTCTGAGGTCAGCAAGTAGTAATGACACCATTTATTATGCTAACATAAGGTCACCCGAATCTTGGGGTTGATTCTGTGGCACAGTGGGTAGAGCAATGGCTCAAGGGCTAAATCTTCACCTTGTAAGCACTGGTATCCCACATGGGCACTGGTTTGTATCCTGACTGCTCCACTTCCCATCTAGCTCCCTGCTTGTGACCTGAGAAAACAGCAAAGTATTGGGGCCCTACTCTTGTGTGGGAGACCTGGAAGAACCTCCTGGCTCCTGGCTTTGGATTGGCTCAGCTCTGGCCATTGTGGCAGTCAGCCAGCAAATGGAATATCTATGTCCACTCTCTGTAAATCTCTTTTAAAAATGAAAACAAAAAAACCCTGGCAGCTTCTAATGCTGGCATCTCATCACCGCCTGTGGGCACTGGTTAGAGGCCAGGCTGCTCTCATTTGACCAGCTCTCTGCACTCTTGTAGGAGATCCAGATGAAGATCCAGGCTCATGGCTCTGGCCTGGCCCAACCTTGCCACTGCCCCCGTCTAGGGAGTGGACCAGTGGATGGAAAACCTCAATCCCTTTTTCTTCTCTAACTTTGCCTTTCTCAAGGCTTTAATCTGCATCTCAGAAGTCTGCATTTTAACAATTTGATATCAATGATTAATTCAAGCATCTATGTTATTGCTTTCTCCTTAGCTACAAACCCATTTCCCTAAAACTACTGACGTGATTTTGTTTTAAAATATCAGGATTCTCAGTACTGGCGGTTCACCAATGAAGTAAAAGACGTAGGGTATCCCAAACCAATTGCGAAAGGATTTGGAGGACTAACTGGGAAAATCGTGGCCGCTCTTTCAATAGCTAAATACAAGAACAGGCCCGAATCTGTATATTTCTTCAAGAGAGGTATATGTTATATAATTTAACAATTACAAAAGTTTAAGATTTTCTATCTGAAGGGACTGAAATTCATTTTCATATTTTGTTTTATAATATTCTACAGGTGGAAACATCCAGCAGTATACTTATAAGCAGGAACCCGTCAGGAAGTGCCCTGGACGGTCCCCTATAAATTACTCCGTGTACGGGGAAACGGCCCAGGTCAGGCGTCGGCGCTTTGAGCGTGCCCCAGGACCGCAAATACAAACTATCAGAATCCAGTACTCGCCTGTCAGAGTCCAGTACCCGCCTGTCAGAGTCTCTTATCAAGACAAAGGTAACATGAGACTTAAGTCTCACACTCATCAAATTGCTCCAATGATTTAAGCTTTCTGATGCAACGTACATCAATGTCTTAGTGAGAAATTAAACATCAGTTCCTCTTTCTTTGAAGGGGGATAGGGGAGAATGGGTCAAGAAACCAGTTTATTCATGTGTGTTAATTATGAAACATATTTACCTAGTACCTCTTACCAGGAGCACTGCATACAAACGTTCTCTCCTAACTAAGGGATTAATGCAAAGTCGGTAACAGGAACTAAGGAAGTCACTGTAGAACAGTTCCACCAAGTCTGTGCGATGCATCCAGTACCCAGGTTTGCCTGCCTCTTTCCAAGAAAATCTGCCACCCTTTCCTGAAAATGTCCTTTTCAGGCTTCCTGCATAATGAAGTGAAAGTAAGTACCATATGGAGCGGACTCCCAGGCGTGGTCACCTCAGCCATCTCACTGCCCAATGCCAGGAAGCCCGACGGCTACGACTACTATGCCTTCTCCAAAGGTGAGCCAGCCAGCCGGGATCTCCCGCACGGAGAATGAGTGGGAAGTTACATCTGGAAGGATAGCTTCTCTTTCAGCTGCTCTAACACTGTTCATGTCCATCACCCAGGCATCCAGCAGGTGCCTTATCTGCCAGAGCTATGCTGACTTGCAATGCTACAAAGCTCTCAGAAATCTTAGCTAAGCCTAGGAAATCTTATTTTGCCCATGATTCCATAATATAAATTACATCAAATGTACTTTTTCAAAAGGATAAAATACAAGTGAAAATTTCAGTCTAACTTGGTTGTTCTCAGGTGTCTGCTAAAAAACAAGAGCCAACCTTAATTTCTGTGGAAAGATCGCTCTCAGGAAGCTGTGAGATATTTCTGATAGAAAAATGATGGACACTAACCATAATAATGAGCCCCAAATTTCTGGGTTCAGGTGGTTTTTTCTCTAATTAAAAATAATTTCTCTTTTATTCAGATCAATACTATAATGTCGACGTGCCTACCAGAACGGCAAGAGCAATTACTACTCGTTCCGGGCAGACGCTATCCAAGATCTGGTACAACTGCCCGTAGGCGGGGGACGAAGGAAGAGCCAACGATTTAAAATGAAGAAAAGAATGACACATTTTGACACCGAAATACATTTTATTAATAAAGCATGTTGAGACAAGCATACTAATTTAAATATAAACATGTTCTTCGACTTGACAATTATTACATTGAACAGATTCGATGATCTTATTCAGAGTTTACGACCATTTAATTAATATTTCCTCTATTGAGTCCTCCTCTTCCTCCCATTGCGTGGCTCACACCTACGGGAAAACAAAAAGCAAATGAAGTTGAGAGCATTCTTTTGAAAAAGATTTATTTATTTCTATCTCTCAGAAAATTCCTTGTGAGGTGAAGTATCTTGGCAGTACAAATATAAAATTTAAGATATGCCACATCTTTGATAGAAATCATAATGATTAATCATTTATTTTTATGGCAAGAATGCGATCTAACAGTTACAGTAGAAAATCATAACTCAGATTTTCCAATTCTTACTGTGGATTTAAGGAAGAAGCAATAAACAGCAAGCATAAGCACGTGTTTGTCACACACGCTCTGCACCGATATGCCGAGAGGCCTGCTCCCCAGTGGGTGCACATTCAACATTAAAAAAGAACTGGTAAACTTAAGGATTAGAAAGTAGATTTTACTTATCACCACCCCACACTCTATCAGTATATCAGGGAATTACCTCTTTGTCTGTTAAACTGACGCCCACGCACACCTTGTCTTAGCGTTGTCTGAAGTCTCACCCTTCGGAAAGGCTTTGGTTGACTGCTGCTGGTGTCTAAGAACAACATCACACATCAGGAAAGCATCAACTGACAAGGCCAAACATTTGCATGGGTAAAACGCAGATACATCATTTTGCTACCAGTATTTAAACCTTTCTTTTTCTTTTTAAGCAAGTGCTATTTCAAATTGAAAAAGATCCCCCTGACCGTTTCTTATGACCGTATTAACTCTACCATCTTATCCAAGCCACAGTCCTCTCCGGCTTGATCACGGGAACAGCCTTTGCACTAGCTGATACTGCTGAGCTTTTAGAGCCAGTATGGCAACTATTGGAAGGCCTCCAACAGTTCTCACACCCTTCGAAGTTCTGCCGACCCTTCTGCTGCCACCCCATCAGACCTCTGGCTACTCCGCTCCTGCCGCCCTGCTGCCTCAGACGCCAACTGCTGCTTCCTCACAACACCATCCTCCAATAATTGCAGTTTAAACCCGGTCCCTTTTCATGTCTATATACTTAATGTCACTTTAGTTAAAGAGTGATACCCCAGATGCTGGCTCACTCCTCAAATAGTAGCCGCCATCAGCCTGACACTTCATCACGTCTCTGCACAGGTGCCACGCACCTGGGCCCATCTTCTGTCGCTTTCCCAAGCACGTTAGCAGGCAGTGCTGGGCACTCTAGCTGGGGCTCATCTGGGATCCTGGTACTGCAGGCTGTGACACAACACTGGCCCCTAATACTGCCTACTCTTAGTGATGCTTTAGATGGAACTGCGTTCACATGGCAAATATCTGCAAGCCAAATGACTGCTTAGACTGGAAGGTATGTTTTATATTTTCAAAAAAACCTAAAGGCATTGTAATTTCAACAACCCGTATGTTTTCTCATGCGAGCTCCAACAGCAGAACGCCTGAGCGAAGGTAATTCTCATAGACATTAGACTGCAATGAGCAGCACAGAACACCAATCTACCATGTGACCGTGGAGAACCCTCCTGTGCCCGAGTCTCCAAGGGCACAGAAACATACATGACAACTTTTTCTCAAAGTAAGCTTAAAAACTGGGAAAAAGTCAAACTCTGAAACATAATCAGATTTCAAACACTTTTATGCAGCAGTGTGCTCCACCTTTCAGCCCTCCACACATCCCTTGTAGGACCTGATCTGCAGAACACACAAGCCGGAAGCTATTCTGGTTGAGACAAGAGCATGGCCCACATCAGCCCTCCTGCACCTGCAGCACCTGCAGCACCCCTAGGGGCCTGGGAACGCCACAAACCACCTACTGTCAAGCCCTGTCCAGATGACTCAGGGGGAAACTACTCTGGGATGGAAGCGTGCGGTCTACATTTCTGACTGCCAGGATCAATAAAATACTGATTCAAGTAAAAAGCAAGTTTCCTTTAATAATAAAGTAAGACTTCTCATAACACATTTTAAAACCCAGAGAACAAATTACTGATCTGTCAGACGGCAGCGTCTCCTGGGTGTGATGTGGCCCATGTGGGACCTTACCTACAGAAGAGCTGGACGGAGGGTCCTGGCTGGTGGATGGAAGATCCGACTCATCAGAGGCCTGGACAGGCTCTTCTTCTTGCTGGCTGTCAATTTCCAGGCCAGCTTCTGAACTAATACTAAAAAAGGCAAATAAACGATTAGAAAATACAAACTGAGTCTAGAAAGTCTCTTAACACTGCTCTCAAACTTTTTCCTGTATGGTCACTACTTGTACGATGCAGGCTGTGTGGCACAGCGGCACTACGTGGAGCTTGCACCGCATACTGAAGTGTCTGGGCTCCACAGCTTCTGCTGGGACGGCACACCCCCAGAGCAGCAGGTGAGGGGCTCTGCACCTATGTGGGAGACTCAGAACTCCCTGGCTCTGGGCTTTGGCTCAGTCCTGGTCACTGAGAACATTTAGGGAGGGCAGCAGTGGCTGGGACACCAATTTCTATCTTCCAGATAGAATGGAACAAACAATAACTTTTTAAAAAAATTAGAACTATTCCAACTCCCCTCTAAAAATTGCATCTTCTGGTAGTTCTCTCACTTGGACATGTTTCAGTTTAGCGGCTACTTTTTCTGATACCTTTTCCTCCTTATCAAGGACGTTCACATTTACTCACAGGGAACACATTATCCATAGATCTCCGCAGGGTGCTGGCTATTCCCAGGCCTTGGGGCAACCAGTGGCTGCCACGTCCTCCTTGCTGCTGCCCAGAGGCCAGTGAGAAGGCAAGTCAGTCTGCTCACTCTTCCATCATTATTAGTAACCACCAGCTGACTAGAACGCTGCACTTGAGAGGTACAGGGCAGTGTCTGTGCGGGATTGGAGTCAGCGCCAAGTTCAGCTTGAGCTAATTACTAGCAGAACAGCCAATAGCTCCCAGCTGGGAGTTACCATCTGTGTAATGGAGAATCCATCGCAAGAATCTCGTGTGGGTCAGAAATGACGTGTGTAAGGTGACCTGCACACGGTCTAGAACGGCAGTGAGCATTCTAAGGTTTATAACCCATCACACAATAAACCACAGCAGACCCACATTTCCCTGATGTGTCAGAGTTGCCTGATAATCCCTGGACCTCTACCCAGAAGTCTGGGTCCCAGTCCCAGCTGTACCCCTGGCCACGCGCAGCTCACTGCTTCCGTGTTCACTTGTGGCCGCTACGACACCTCTGTGTGAAGCCAGTGCTTCCTGTCTCAGTCTAATGCCCAGTGTGAGGGCCACTTCAGAGCCGGCCATGCACCCTGGTTTTCACAGCAGGGCTCCTTTTTTTGGTTAAAAAAAAAATCCAAGCAGTTAAGTCAATGGAGGGGTATCAGTACCTTTAAAATGCTTTGTTTTAGTGAATGTTATGTCATTTTCAGAGATATAATAGTTTTAAGGACTGTCTTTAATAATGATCACAAAGTTCTATTCAAGGTAGCATTTCCAAACTTACGGTTTACCTTATTTTCTTAGTAGCATGCTAACAAAAATAAAGCTCAACTATTTCTTGGCTCAAAGGAAACAAATACATTAGGCCTGACAAATCTAAACAAAGCAAATATAAAAGTCAACTTTTACCCTTCAGATTCTGCCTCCACAAACACTTCATCTCCGTCATCCCCCGCGGCAGTGTCATTTGTGGTGGATAAAGCTCCAGTGGATGTGGTCACCATGGGAACGGACTGCGAGGCGTGCTCGGAGGCATCCGATGTAGCACTCTCAGTAAACACAGTCACTGCATGGAAAAAACAGCTTTCACTTGCGGCTCATCAAACTCTCAGCCAGAAGCTACTGGTGGAATGTGAGCTCTGCTCGCGTGCCTTGGATACCCACCAGGGGCAGCCACTTGCAGAGGAGTAGTGGGAACGCTTCGGCCACCCGACTCCTCTTCGTGAGCCAGGAAAAGGGGGGTCTCATACATCCCCAGACCTGAAGAACATACTGAATATTAACGAGCAGTTAAAGAACATAAAGCTGCCAAAAACTAACATCACAGGTAACCAGGGGAGGACAGACATGCATCCTTACTGAGGCATGCAGATCAAGCTTTTCATTTTATGATAAAATGGATGCAAGTATGTGCACCCACGCACACACCGCATGTGCACGACCAGCTCACATGACCTTGGCAGTGCAGAAATCCAAGGAGCTGCACTGACTACAAGTGCATCTCACATGTGGATAATCAACCCCTACTAAATGTAGGAGTTATTTTATTCCACATACTTTAAAAATGAATGTTAAGGGAAAAAATTCTGGTTTTACAACTTGAAATAGAAATGTTACAAGTATCAAACTATGGGCTGCACTCTGTCCACCTGAAAGCAGCTAGTGGTACCCAGGTGTACTTTCTGGTGCAATACATACTCCTGCTTGCATGTCTGACACCAACACCGGGAGCGGGAAGGGGCACAAGTGCAAATTACGCTCTCAGAAGTGACAAGAACTGTGTTAAGATAATGCCCGACAGCAGCAAGCACAGTTCGCACAGAGCTCGTGGAACTCAGGGACAGCAGCCTTGCACTAAGCACAGGGGGATGCAGGAACCACCTCTTCAAGCCACCCACCTCCTTGAGAAGCAAGCTGGCCAAGATCGGAGTGACTGGAACTGGTCTGTGGCATGTCTTCAGGTGGCCCAAACCGGAACCGAGGAACACCAGCAACCTGGGGGGAACTGCACGGGCGGAAAATTTAAGACAAAACTGACACACCCCGCTTAAATCTCAACATCTCAAACAACGCAGAAAGAGGAAAGAAAAAGCCGACAAGAGGTGTGCTATCAGCCATCCATGAATCCAGCTATGATTTACAGCAAAATTACCTAATTCCCTGGGACCAGGCCTCATATTTCCTGACTTTACTAGACATACCCCTGAGAATGACACCCCCAATTACTGGGGTGAACTGCCTCTTCATCTGAACTAAGAAAGCCTACTGTCTCCGTCCCTACCCCCACTTCCAGGTGCTTAGGTTGTAGTCCGCTGCCCTCAAGTGTGGCCTCCATATCACCACCCACTGTCGGCAATGAATCACCAGCAACCAGAGTTTAAATTCTCAATTTATGAGGCAGGAATTCCTGCATCGCTCAATCCCACCTTAGGAACGAGGTAGTCAAGGAGCAGATGCTGAGGGGCGTGCTACTCCTGGGAAACGTGGAGCTCAGAGCCACCAGGGCATGGACTCCAGGAAACATGCTCAGCAGCTGCCAGGCTGCCCTGACATTCACATTTTTTAAAAGTAAAAATTAATCTTCTGCAATTTTGACTTTATACCTGTTGGTCTAAGTACATGCCCAGAAAATTAAAAACCAAAACTTAGAAATATTAAAATGTGCAATGTGACATTTCAGTGGTTCGAACAATCTGATGATCAGGTCAGGATAAATGGCGTAGCCATCACTTCCAAACATTCAGCACTGCTTTGTGTTGCGAATACTCAAAATCTCTTCCTTGCTCTTTCTGAATAGCCTTCCCTAACATGATATCCTTAGCCCTCACAAATCAGCAGCGTTCTACAGTACGGCAGAAGTGTCAACAGAGCACTCAATCAAACGCCACACAAGCCAACAGTGAACCAGCAGACTGGCGCAGTGTGCCGTTAACTTACTGGATGGCCTCCGCAAACCCGTCAGTGCGATGCGGCACCACGAGAGTTGGAGTACTTGGGACTGTTCTGTCTTCGTCATCGAAGAAGTGCTGCTGAACAGAGAGCGGGGGCCAGGAGTGAGAGCAAGCATGCGACCCACGCGAGGGCGGCTGGGCAACGCAGCGCCTCCACTCACCGTGCCGCCTGTCCCTGGAGTCAGCTGAAGCCCGCGCCCGACAGACTGCCGCCGTGCCATCTGAACTCTCTGTGTGCCAGGAAAGGAAGCAGGGTATCAGCAGATACAGCTTACCTGCTCGTGACCAAAGTAACTGACATTTTAGCAGACAGGTGGCCATCCGGACATCTTCTCAAGAAAAACGGCTACTAAAATCAGTGGCTAATTAACTAGATAAACTGTTCACTGACACTTGGATAAAAGCCAATGTGTTTGTTATTGATACGTGAAGGGATTCGTGTCCTGTCCCCTCCCTGAAACTCGCACATGTACTTGTGAGTCTGAAATATTTCAGCAAACAGTGTTCTCATCATTTTCAAAAGTGACTGGACTATATACACCTGTATTAATAATTTGTGTTAAATACCTTTACTTGAAAGACAGAGGACAAACACATCTTCCAGTGACTGGCCATACCACCAAGCGATGGGTCAGCAGAGGACAGTGGCAGGGACTCAGCGCAGTCCTCGTGGGCCCAAGCCCTTGAGCCAGCGCTGCCTGCCGCCTCCCACGCTGTGCACCAGCCACAGTGGGAACAGGAGCAGAGGCAGGATTGGCTTGGGCCCGGGACCTCCAATACGGAATGCAAAGCACCTCGAGGGGTACGTACTTCAACTCCTGTGCCAGAGGCCTGCCTCTCTTCGTTAACTTTACAAGTGGAAATAATCTGATTAAACGAAGGAGTTCATTAAATAGAAATTTATTTTTTAAAATGTTGGTTCTTAGAGCTCAAGTTGTCAAAGCAAGCAGTGAGCTGCAAACAATATTTTACCTGAAGAAGTAGCAACTGTAACTTTACTTGCTATGACATAAACATCTCAATCTGTGTACAGCTTTCAGTAAACTGCCTTTACAGTACACTCAAGTTACAAGAACCAAGTCACCACCATGTTTTAAGGCAGAAAGCAGAAATTAGCTTCAGTTCAATAATTAAAAAAACCAAAAAAACAAAAACACAACAGTTCATTTCGTTCTTAAAAAAAAAAAAAAAAAAAGCCAGGATAATCTTGAAAAGGGACAAAAAGCCAGTACTTTTTCTTAAAGCTCATTTTCAGGGTGACCAGCGTCCAGTCCTTGTGGTTGAATACCTGCACTGGTGGGCCAAGCTCCTGTGGTGGCGCATGAATGGTCAGCCGAGGAGGCAGGGGGTGCGGTGGGCGCCTTGGGGACTGGGGTGCTCGAGGGGCTTGTCTTTCAGATGCTGATGATGGCTGCTGGTCTCTGGAAATCTCCTGGGAAAAAGACTCCGCCGGCCCTGTACTTCCATCACCTATGGGAGAAGAGAAGCTCATTTCTGAACTATCAAAGTGACCGCACAATAAACTCTACAGGGAATGCTTCCTCCCCTCCATCCCGGCCAGCAGCAGCCGTGGAGGGAACTGAGCCTACAAGAATCAGCTGTCAGGCCCTGGTTTGAGGTAACAGGGAGCAAAAGCAACTTAGGCTTTACTGAAGATTTCACAAACTGGAACATTATAACTCTGTGCCCAACACTGTGGAAATGTTGGTTTCTACATAAAGGTCAGCCCACTGGGTCATTCATGTAAACAACCCAGCAGAGGGGGGACCGACCGAGTGAGCACTTTGATGACGGAGCACCATATTCTGTTTTCCTTAAATGCCAAAGGTCAAAGGCTTTTCCAAAGTTTGTCCTGCATGACAGAAGGCTGAATTAGGGTAGCACAGACTGCAGTGCTTGGTGAGTATGGGGTGCAGGAGACGCCCCTCGGCTAACACAAGGCTTCAGGGCAGCCACGTCCATGCTCCAGATCCTGAACCTGGGCTTCAGCTTGCTCACAAGCGTCCCGTGACACACCGACTCCACTCGCTAACTTAGCCACTATGCTTTGACGTGCTGATCATCAAGCCAGGATGGAGAGAAGGGATAGGGAGAACAGTCTCCTGCAAGCATCCAGGTGTCTGGGAACAACGGCCAAGAACAGCAGCCCTCACAGGATTTCACACTTGAGTGACAACGCCTAGAGACGAAAAGGAAACTTCTCTGACTCCAACCACGTGCTACACAGAAATGCTGAATCGAAAAAATGTTCATAAAGCTTCAATCATACTCAACGATTAGTTTCTCTCTCCTTACTTGTCTCAAATAAGAAAACTATCCATTATCATGTGGCCTAATACTTGCTAGCTTTTCCCTTAAGAAACTTAGAAGTGGAAAGGGATGCCTGTCCTTATCATGTGCATTCAAAGCAGCACATCTTTCCTTTCAAACACTCAGGCCTCTAAGAAGCTCAATGGTTTTCTGTTAGTTTAATATGCAGTCCCACTGCTGAATTTGGCTGAGCATCATCACCTGCAAAACCAACAATGTTGCATAAGGTGATGGTAATTCTTTTATTTCAAGGTTTAAAAAAAGTTTTTTTAACTTTCAAAGCTAGATTTACAGAGAGAAGGAGAAACAGAGGGAAAAATCTTCTGCCCATCTGCATCCACTGGTTCTTCCCCCAAACGGCTGCAATGAGCAGAGCTGCACTTATGTAAGGCCAGGAGCTCTTCCGGGTCTCCCACGGGTGCAGGGTCCCAAGGCTTTGGGCTGTCCTCCGCTGCTTTCCCAGGCCACAGGCAGGGAGCTGGATGGGAAGCTGAGCTATCAGGACACCGGTGCTTGCAGGTGGAGGATTAGCCTGTGAGCAAGCACATGGACCCGATTGTAACTCTTTACACTACATTTTAGAGTCCAGAGGTGTGAGGCCAGCTTGCCAGGCGCCCTCGGCCGAGCACTGGCGTGAGCTCTGACACAGGTCTCTGCCATCCAGGAAGCCCCGGGTGGAACTCTGGGCTCGTGGCCCGGGCCTGACTTGGCCACAGTGAGTCAGAAACTGGAGGATCTCACTTTTCTTCTAACACCATCTTTCAAATAACTAAGCATTTAAAAAGAAGCAAAACATATAGGACACATTTTAAAACAATAAAAGCAATTTTCTCTAATTTCCATTTGATGTCCGCTGTTCAATGGGCCTCAAGGGCTGAGCTTTCTCCAAAGATTTTAATCACAGCAATGCCGTGTTTACCAAGTTGTTGTTCTCCCACTGGAAAAACTAGGCAACACTGGGCAGCTTCAGTGTCCACGAGTTTGGGAATGCAGCTTGATCAGACTGACCTCTTGTGGCTGAGAGCTGTTATTTCCATTAAAGTCAGAGATTCAAGGTTTCCATTCACTAACAGCAGCACCATCATATGGCATTTACAGTAATTTAGAGATCTGGGGGCGGGTGTGGTGGCTCAACAGGCCAATCCCCCACATGTAAGTGCTGGTATCCCACATGGGTGCTGCTTCATGTCCTTGCTGCTCCATTTTGAGTCCAGCTCCCTGACTGTGGCCTGGAAGGCAGAGGAGGACGGCCCAAGGCCTTGCAGGGAACCTGCAGGAGGCTCCTGCTTCCTTCCTGATCAGCTCAGATCTGTGGCCACTGGAGGAATGAACCAGTACACGGAAGATCTTTCCGTTTCTCTCTCTCTCGACACCTCCTTTTCCAATGAAGATGAATAAATCTTTTAAAATTCATAGATTTAAATGATAGTACCTAAGAGCCACAAATAAAGATTTCTTTGAGGGCATAATGGTGACAAAGTGAGACAAGAGTCAGTGCTTCGTCAATTTACTGAATGTCTTAAATTTTCTAAAATGTTTATTTATTGAGAAGTAAAGAGAGACACAGAGAGACAGATCCCATCTATTTGCTGGTTCCCTTCCCCACTGCCTGCCCAGCTGAGTCTGCGCTAGGGCAGAGCGAGGAGCCCGGAGCCCAGGCCGGAGCCCCTCACCGCCACCTCTGGTGCAGCTCCAATCTGAAGCAGAACCAGGGCTCAGACACAAGCACTTCAGGCTGTGGGAAACCGAAAGGAACCCTCAGGACCACCCTCCTCAACACCCACCCAAGATACTCTAAAGAAGAACTAGTCTCACCACCGTTTTGTGAATCAGCAGCTCTCTGGTTACTCTCTCCTCCACCCATACTTTCTTCTGTTTCCGTGCCTGGATCGGTCCCCTCACCACCCTAAGAATAAAACATGATGACTTCAGCTTAGTGAAGAAATACCCAATAGTTAACCAAACTAAACCACAGCAAAAACCAGTAAGCCAAGCTTCAAAGCTGCACAAGCTCTGGGCTCCTGACAGGGCCTCCCCGCACCCCGGGAGAGCTGGGTCGAGCTGGGTCGGTTACCTCGGCCTCGTCGGCTTCATAGCCGTCGTTACCATCTGCACTGCCAGTTCCCTCGTTACTGTCTTCACCCTCGTCTCCCATCCCCGTGTCATCCTCGTCTTCATCATCATCTTCTTCGTCTTCTTCATAATCCTGGTAGAGAAATCCGCAAGGGTAAAAGAAGATTTTGCATGCGGCCTGCGCGTCTGCGTTGTCACCTGGGCCAGGACCCAGGTTTGCCCGAGCGCTGCGCGTGAGCAGCCAGGGGCAAGCATCGTATCTGGGACGCCCTCCAGACTTAGCCCAACACCACCACTGGGGACGCGAGATCAGCCAGGATCCCAAGGAGTTCATTTTATTTCACCTTAAAATAGGTGAGCTGGGGGAAAACAATGAGCTTATATATCACAGCAACTTTTTGAAAGTTTCTTTATTAAAGTCTCAAGCTGTCAATTTAAGGTTACATTTCAAAATAAAGCACAAAATTTCATGTAAAATGTATTTCATTCAATTATGTATGCTATAAAGTACTTCAGAAATGGACTACAGACCTCTAAGAGGTAAAAAAAAATTCATTTTTTAAAAAGTCTCCACAGTGCTGACAATCAAGTTCCCAGCCATTTCAAAGGAGACGGTGGTAACTCCTGGGAGAATTTAGGACTCAATGCAGAAGTGCAAGGATCTGCACACTTTCTTCCAAACCACATTTATTTACCTCATGCTCCCCGTCGTTTTCATCCTCCTCCTCCTCTTCGTCGTCGCTGTCAATCACGATGACGTCATCCCCTTTGCCCTGGCCGTCCTGGGATGAAGCTGTGGTCTGCTGGTCTGACTGCAGGGGCCCCAGCGCCATCTGCAGAGACTGCGAGGTCTCCTCACTGTCCTCCATAGGCGTGTAATCCCCCTGCGTGACTCCCTTTAAAATTAGATGGTCAAAGTAAAGGCTAAGAATGGCCTGGCAGTGTTCTAAAAGCTTTGAAATCAAATGGTAAAGAAGACAAGCCTTTTTGTTTCTTCACTGTCTTCCTACAAAAGAAAACTTTCTAAATCTTACTGGGTAATAATGAGAAAAAAACATATACACAACCTTATGACAGATATAAAGCAATTCTCTGCATATTCTATTTCTCTAAGTTTATCTTATTAGATATTATTGTTTTTATTTTTAATGTCTTAAAATTTTTAATACTTGGGCCAAACATGGGAGCTGAGCAGCTAAAGTCCTCACCTTGAATGCACCAGGATCCCATATGGGTGCTGGCTCTATCCCAGTGGCCCACTTCCCACCCAGCTCCCTGCCTGTGCCTTGGAAAGCAGTCGAGGACGGCCCAAAGCCTTGGAACCCTGCACGCGTGTGGGAGACCTGGAAGAAGCCCCTGGCTTCGGATTAGCTCAGCCCTGGCTGATGCAGCCATTTGGGGAGGGAACCTTCGGACGGAAGATCTTCCTCTCATTCTCTCTGTATATCTGACTTTGCAATAAAAATAAACAAATCTTTAAAAACCATTAAAAAAATTCTTCATACTATGTATTTTGACAGGGCACACGCGTAGCACAAGCTGTCCAGGTCAGTGCATCAGCACCTCTGCTCCCTGTCCTGTCCTGTCCCTGCTTGGGACACACAGAGCATGGCGGTGAGCAGTGCGTCCCTCAGTGCAGCTGCCCACTGAACCAGCCAGCCTTGTCCCGTGTGCTGGCATCCATCCACCCTCCTCCACTCCTGTTCCTCTCTCAGCGTCTAGAGAGCTCTACCCTGAAGCTCTGATGGATTTCTAGAAATTCCTTGAGACAAAATACGTAGTAGTTATTTTTGCCTTTCTTCATGTATAATAAAAAATCTCTAGTTCCACTAATTTTACAAACTATGAATTTTTCCATAGATATGCAGTACTATAAAAATTTATATGTTGTTTTCTTTTTGGCTAAATATTCAATAAAATCAAATTTTTATACAAGCTAGCAACCAGGTATTCAGGAATAAGATATTCCAAACAATTATGTATATCATAATGGAAATGATGAGTAAGTCACATTCTAATTAAAAAAAAAAAAATCCTCAAATTGACACTTATTTCCAAAAAGCAACACTTATGAACATCATATGCTTCATTAGCAGAAAATGAAAACCGCAAGTGCACCCAAGCAGCAGTGCGGGAAGGGCGCGACGGGAGCCACACGGCCCGAGTCGGAACCACGTCAGCCTCGAGAAAATGCGTTACACATGATTTTAAAACAATTTAGCCAAGCCTGGCCATTTAAGAAATTCACATATTATCTCAAATTGTTCCTTAGATACAACGCCCTCTGAAGAATCCACAAAACAGATGTTCTCATGCATGACATCATCAAAAGAGTTCATTTTTGTGTTTTTAGTCAAGAAAAACTGGAAAATTAAGGCATAAAACCAATGCATCTCAGAAAACCAGATTATCTGTAGGCATGATTACTTATGACGAGTTTCAGACAATATTTTAATTTTACCGAAGTTAGAATAAAATGTTCCTGAAATTTTGTATAGCAAGTATTGCTTCTCAAGTTTAAAGAGGACAGCTGGAAACTAAAATCCTGAGTTCAACAGCCATGTGAACTTGTCTGAATCGGGTTCCAAATACATCTCTTAAAACCAAATGTGCAGTGCTGAGTTCCAGACGATGGATCTTAGGTATGAATTCTCTCATCTTGTAGGGCAGACAATAAAAAGTGAGTGGTGACATTCTGAACATGTAACACGGCAGCCAACTACTTCAGGCATTTTACAATATGAAAATGTTACACTTTCCCACAAATGCCGTAACTGAGCATTAGCCGGACACATGGCTTATTTCAAGTGGAAGTGCCAGAACAGAACCTAGGAAGTCAAAGACTTCAGTTGCCTTTTGGGGGAATGGCAAGCAGAGATCAAAAGCTCAAGTGTAAAATGAAGTTGCTTCCACAGATTAGGAACAGCACAGGATAACCAATTGGGCACAGGGCGGACGAGCACCCCGGGCCTTCTGTACGTGGGAACCGAGGCCCCGCAGGAGCAAAGCCATTTCTCCAGAGGAGGAAAACAAGCATAGATCTTTCATTAGATCTGAAACATGCTGAAAGCTTCAACTGACTAAAAGCGACTGTCTTACTTCTCCAATGGAATCCTGAGAGTCCTGGTTGTAAGCTGGCGCCTCTGCCTCTCCGTCGGTGCTTTCCTCTGCCACAACTTCTTCCTGAATAGCAAAGCACAGAAATGACTACCAGAACCACGCCCTGGGTGAAGAGTTACCTGTTCCGTGAGAATCCTTACAAAAACAAAGCTCACAGTGATACTTTTATGCAGCTAGGTATCAGCAAAGTCCATTTCATTTATAAAATATAAGCACAATCATAATCCTCTTGGTACGAATATTTCACTTAAAAAAATCATAATTTAGCCTTAAAACAAAAAAAGGAATATAATTCTGGATAATGTTAGAAAAAAATGGCAGACAATAGTTTAAATGATGAGTAGGACTATAACCTTGCTTTAAATGAAGAAATAACTTGGAAATGGGATTCAACTTGTTTCTGTTAAGCACAGCGAGTTCACTAAGCGAGAGTTTCCCGATGAGACAGTGTTACTTGCACTGAGCCGTGCTGGAGAGCCCAGGCCGGCGGCCCACGCACCTCGGTCCCCACGGGGGTCACACTCCTGAGCTTCTTGGGAAGAGGCATCTCCACCGTGTCCTCAGAGACTTGCTCCGATGCTTCCACGGCATTCTCTTCCTCTTCCTCTCGTGTGCGTTTTGGCAAAGAAGAACTTGGAGTGGCTGAAACTTTGAAGGTAAATCACAGAAATCTTGAATCACAAAATAAATGAAAAAATATTTTAAAAATACCTAAGGAGGTCACGTAGTTAGAGGACACAGTGAATATTCATTGCAGTTTGTTTCAATTCCATACATGAACAAAGAGCAGCTTCTGTGCCGAACCAGTGTCTTAAGCCTTGACTAATAAGCCATCAACTCCAGTTACGGATGGTCCCCTTGAAGGCACCAGTAATGACCACTGAAATGTTTACATACAAACACCGAGGGCTACTTGAATCTTCACCACTGTACCAAATGCTTAGCTTTAACTTCATTTTAAAGTTCACCTTACCAGTCCCAAACACTGCTGTAGAGGTAGAAGGCCGCTCGACCGGTGAACTCTGAACAACCTCCACTATGCTGGGGGAGAGCTCCTGATTTGCAGGCTCAATCTGAGCATGACTCTGCTGGGTAGGCTGCACAAAAGCCGTGGCCTGTGTCTGCTGCTGAACAGTCAAGATGGGCTGAGAGATGGAAGGCTGGACATTAGGACTTGTAGAACGGACAGATCCACTAGTGCTTCCAAACACCGGGACATGCTCCACAGGCCCTTCGGACTGCATAGCTGAAAAGCAATTACATTATGTTTAATGTGAGTCACCCTCTTTCAGCACAGCTGGAACCATTTCTTTCATGATTATACTTCTTACCACTAATCAGAAAAAATGTAACAGTAAAGGTTATGCATTACGCATCTTTGAAGACATTTTGGTTTTACATTTGCTTAGGCAGACACAAGAGCGGGGAGGAAGAGCAAGAGAAGAAGCAGAGCATGTGAGCGTGGCTCTACCTGCTGTCCCGCTTTCCACACGGCTGATACTGTTGGTGGGAGCAAGGCCAAGGCTGGCACTGGGAACTCACGCCAGCTCTTCCCAAGAGTGGGGGCCGTTACATGAGCCATTACAACTCCTGCCAGCTCTTCCCAAGAGTGGGGGCCACTACCTGAGTCATCACAACTCCTGCCAGCTCTTCCCAAGAGTGGGGGCCATTACCTGAGCCATCACAACTCCTGCCCAGGGTTTGGTTTTTGGCAGTAATTTAAAGGTCATGAGCCAGGGTCAGGTACTGAATTCAGGAATTCGCAAAATGGGATGCTGGTGTCTTCCCCATTAGGTCAAATGCTGTCTCAGTATCATGCAGTAAATTGTTTTCTACATTAGTTAAATAAATATCTGGAACTCTCTGCATTTATTTTCCCATAATAAGGTGTAACTAAATAAAAGTAATTAAAATTCATAAGCCCAAATTTAAGCAAGACACTTTGTTTTACCAGGCCTGTTTGCTGTGGCTGCCTCCTCCATCAGAGGAGGTCTCAGTCCTGGCTTTGCTCCTGACACAGCTCCCTATTGAGGTTCCCCTGGGAGGTGGTGGTGGCTCGAGTACTTGGAGACCTGGACAGAGTTCCAGGCACCGTGCATAGGCCTGCTGTGGCCTTGGCTGCTATGGGCATTTGAGGGGTGAACCAGCAGACGGATGCTACTCACTTCTCTTTCAAGTATAACTATAATTGGTACAATGAATCACAAAATGCCATGGCAAGAAGAAAAAGAAAGCAAAAAAGCCAGATTCAGTGAAAAAAACCTTATTTGGGCTGAACCAGTAATGAAGCATGGTTTTCCAAAATGACTTGCATGTCATCAGTATTAGTCATTAGAAGTGGATACTGTGCTATAACCTTCAGGGTTGGGGCTGGTGTGGCGCTCATGTTTCCCTGCTGATGGTCTGGACCCCTGCCACCCACAGGGAGACCTAGAAAAACTGCTGCTTCCTGGCTTTGGCCTGGCCCAATGCTGTTTGTTGCGACAATCAGCGGAATGAGGTAGCAGATGAAGATCACTCTCTCTATATATATATACACACACACACACATAACTGCTTCAAGTGAATAAACAATAATCCAGAGGGAGGTAATTATCCCTTTACACACAGTTTAAATGTGGTTACATTAACAAGGATCCTAGCAATCATGTACCTCAAAATACCCTCACTCATTTTTATAATATCTGACTTAAGCTTCATGCATCACTGGGGTTACCATCGTATTCATCCTATTTCACCAACCTTCCTGCGATTCCACCTGTGTGGTGGGCATCACTGTGGCCGTCGGGGTGGTTGTGGGGTTTGTCACAGTCGCAGGTGTGACCATTGGGCGGATGCTAGCTCTCGGTGTTGACTTATTCCCAGCCATAGCTGCAGCTGTTACTTTACTTGGAGTAGACACAACGGGAGTCGGCTTAATATTGGCTGTTGGTGGGTCTGAAGTGCTGGCACTTGGAGAGCAGAAAACAGAATGACTCACCAACAAAGTACTACTAAAGCATCTCTTGTAAAACACAATCCCAGCCACTGTTCAGATCCACGCATCCACGACCAAGGGAACGGTTCCAGTTCTTAGGTCCCTGGCACGTGCACAGGGAACCCGGATGCAGTTGCTACCTCAGCACCGGCCCAGCCAAGCTCTCGCTGGTGTGAGCATTCGGGGAACAAACTAGCTGATGGGAGATGTATTTTTCTCTCTTCCTTTCAACAAATAAAAATAATCAACAAATCTGTGCAGAGGATATTCTGGAAAGTATCTGACTGCTGGAATCCTGCCTTTCCTAACTGCGCGCAGCATCTTGGGGTCACACCAGAGATGCGAGATGTTTTCTCCGTCACGGAGATCTACCAGATAGGCTACGCACAGGTTGAAAACAAGTCCAGTCACTGATGGTCCCTTAGGATCTAGTTTTATACCACAGTACAGACCTCCCTATTTCCTGTCTTCCTCAGGCTTCGTGGAGAAAACAGAAAGAACGAACACTTACATCCCCCTTTCCCCAGAAGCCGGGGTGGTTTTCAACGTGATCTGCCTCTGCTGCTCTGGGACCTGGGAAGACAGAACATGGAGCTCTGTGTCTGTTTCCGAAAGCTACTGAACAACGTCATGAAGATGTCACTGCCCATTCTGCAGGCACGCCCTGCCCACCTTGCTGGTCGGCTCCGGGGGCTCATCCCTCTGCTCAAGGTGCCGCTCCTGGTGCTCTCGGAGCTCTCTCTCCAATCGGCTGATCCGACCTTCGTACTGGGACTTCAAGGCAGTCATGCGCACGTCCAGCTCATCTTTCTGTTGATCTAAGGCTCCATTCCTTTGTTTAAGTTCCTCGTTTTCTTTAGTTAGCTGATCTTTCACACCTGAACCAAAGCCCAGACTCTGTTAACACTGGAACCAAACACTACAAGTGCATGTAAACTTGGCTCATAGCTCTACAACCCCACTTCACCAGCTCTATCTGCTCGCACATCAATATTTAGATGAACAAAGTTCTAAACACACCCACCCATGTTGATCACTCTAATACAAAATAAAATATACTTCCTCCAACAGAAAGATGTGACTTCTCTTAATAAAAATCCCCAAAAAGCTGAAGAACCCTAATTAGCAGAAACTTTTTTTTTTTAACAATTTATTTTGGGCCTGGAGTTGTGCTCAACAGGCCAATCCTTCACCCTGTGGGGACAGCTTGTGTGCTGGCTGCTCCATTTCCCATCCAGCTCCCTGCCTGTGGCCTGGGAAAGCAGCGGAGGATGGCCAAGTCCTTGGGACCCTGCACCCGTATCAGAGATCCAGAAGAGGCGCCTGGCTTCTAGCTTTGGATCAGCTCAGCTCTGGCCATTGTAGCCACGTGGGGAGTAAATGAGCAGATGGAAGATCTTGTCTCTCTCCTATTTATGTATCTTTCATTAAAATAAAAATAAATTTCAAAAAGAAAATTCACTTGAAAGTCAACATTAGAGGGGTTGAAATGACAGATACTGTCTACCCGCTGGGTCACTCTGCAGGGCTGGGACAGTCACAAGCCAGGAGCCAGGCACTTTTGGGTCTCCCGACAGGTGCAGGGGCCCAAGGATCTTGGCCATTCCTCCAACTGCTGTCCCAGGCCATTAACATGAAGCTGGATCAGAAGTAGGGTAGCCAGGACGTGAAGTGGTGCCAAATGGAATATTGGCAATTTTGGCAAAGGATCAGCTTGCCACACCACTGTGTTGACAGCTGGCAAAGACTTTTATGTTATTCATCACTGTGAGTTATCAGATTTTTCATTTAATATCATAACATACACACAAACATTCAACAACATTTTCTGAAGTAAGTGGGGAGATACTATCTTGCAGATCATCAAAAGAACACAGGTGCCAGGCTGCAGCGGGCCACGCTGCCCGGGAGCTCCGCAATCTCGGTCCGAGGGCTGGTTCCAGTTCCAGCTCTTGGGCTTCCCACCCAGTCTGCCACTAGTGGTTGGGCATGCAGCAGATGGTGACCATGCACTGCCACAGGAGCTCCAGATGGGACCACAGGCTCCCAGCCCGGTCCCGGTTGTCTCCTGCACATGGGGAGTGAACTGCTGAAGACCTGTCTGTGTCATTCTGTCTCTCAAGTAAGGAAACTTCAGAAAAGTTTTCTCTCTCTCTCTCTCTCTCTCTCACACACACATACCCACCCACCCACCAAGGTAACCTCATCACTTGAAAACTAAGACTGCTAACTAAAAAACCGAATGTTGGTTTCTTACACAGCCCAAATGTTACTATCAACTTTAACATACAGAGCACAGAGGAAATACCGGCTAAGTGTGCAATCTTGGACTTGGCTGCCACAATGGCCTTCCTGGTCTTCTCCTCCTTCTCGGTGATCTGCTGCCGCAGCTGTTCCTCCTGCGTGGCCCGCTCCTGCAGGTCCTGGCGCAGCCGTGCCAGCTCCGACTGCAGCTGTGCCGTCTGCTCCTGCACACTTCTTGCCTCCGTCTCTTTCTCCGACAATGTCTTTTCAGGGAAACGAAAGCATTCACCGTGTAATTCACCAAATTACGACAAACCCTGTCCAAAACCCACCACTAATTTTAAATCAAATCAAATACAATAAATATCTGTATAAAAATGATGGAAATCAGCAAAATGGATACTTTTAGATGGAGAATATTTAAGCATGTGAGTCATTCAAAGTTAAGATAAAGTATTTCTTTCGGTATGCAAGAGGGAAGGCCGATGTCCCACTGGTACCTTCTGCAGAGTCTCTACTTGACTCTCCAGGGACTTGGCCTTGGCCTCAGCGTGGCTGAGGGCTTCCTTGAGCTCCTGCACCTCCTGTGCTGAGACCTGCTGCTCCTGATGGTCTCCTGACGACTGAGCTGACGTCTCCACGGCCTAGACAGCAAGCAGGAGTCAAGGCAAGAACAGAATTCAGCACGTACATTTTCTGAGGGTTTTACGAAAGCAATTTTCCAATCTAAAAATTACTCTATTTACTGAGGAGAAGGAAAGACAGACAGAAAGAGCTGACTGACTCACTGAGAATTAACTTGAAACTGCTAGTCCCTGAATGCCACCAGAGCCAGACCCAGGCCAACTTTGAGCTGGGAGCAGGCAACAGAAGCCAGGACTGCCACGCTGGTGGCAGGAACCCAAAGAGAGCTGTCACCTGGTATCCCCACCGAGTCTGAACGGGCTGGCAGGGAGTGGCCTGAGCCAGGGTAGGTATCTGACTCAAGATTCCCCAACAGGGTTAAATGTTAGATTAACGGGTTAAATGTTCACTCCTTCCCTCAAAGTGAATTTTCTATAGAACAACTTTAATGTCCCTAAAGTTTATGATGTTTTGCACAATTTATTATATAGCTAGTCATAATGATGCACTGTAGATAAATTTGTGACACAAAAATATATTTTTAAAATAATGAATCAAGTGGAAAATCAGAGTATAAAGCAACGTAAGGAAACATGTTCTCTGGAAAAAACATTACATATATGTAAAGAAAAAAAGTGCTAACTGGTTAGCATTAAGAGGTTAAAATGCTGACTTTTTTTCTTTATATATTTTGAAATGCAATGCAAGGAAAACATGCAGATTCTCCACTTGAAAACAAGACTTGAAATTTTAAAGGGTTTTTTTTTGATAGGTAGAGAATAAGCAGCTCATTTAGGGCTTCTGGGGACTGGTGTGGTATAGCAAGTCAAGCTGTTGCTGCCCGAGACCCAGCATCACACATGGGCTACAGGGATGGATGCATTCTAGCTGCCCCACTTGTGCCCCAGCTCCTCGCTGATGGCCTGATGGCCCAATCGTTTGCGCCCCTGGCCCTCCTGTGGCAGATGCACATGCAGTCCATAGCTCCTGGACTCAGCATGGCCAGCCCGGCCCTGAACCTTCTAGGCCATGAACCAACACTCCCCCAAAAAACCTCTTTTCTCTCCCCCCACAACCTCTCAACTTTCACATAAACAAACAAATTCTAAAAAAACCCCAAAACATCCAAAACCAATATTAAAGGGTGCCACTTTTTGGAGATATACAATTTTAATCAGAAATGATTTTATGAGAATGTAATTCTGAAAAGGGATAATATGCAAAATCTGACAAATTAAATTAAATCACCTAGCGTTTACCAAAATTGGCTTGAGCTTATATCCTGCTTTTGGATATTTTACATAACACGAAAGTAAATCACGGTAGCCTTGTAGTGCTGAGTCTGGAATCTGTATGCCAGGCGACTACACTGAGAACACGCTGGAATACCTTATCCTGCTGGGCTTTGAGTTCTTCATACTGAGTCTTGTATCGGCGTCCAATCTTCTTGACTTGAGTAATAGTTTTGACCTTTTCTTGGATATCAATTATTTTGGCATCTAAATCCTTCTGGATGGTTTCTTTTTCAGTTTTTACTTTATTTAAATCTTCCTTCAGACTTTGGATTAAATTCTGGTTGTTAGTCAAGGATGCATTTGATCTTTAACAGAGGAAAGGAAAATGAATAAATGAAGGCTTTGCTTCAAAGTCTGCAATTTTATGCTTACACTGTATAGCTTAAATAAAATGTATTAACTAAAAAAGTTCTTACAGTAACAAAACCCAAATTACAGACACCCCCTTTAGGAAGCCTGCACCTGACGACGCTTACAAGCTCCCATGCGGGGAGAGCAAAGCTTCCCAGCAGCCAGGCGGAGGCACCCGGACGCTCGGATCTGCTCCACACCAAAGGGGCACTCTTCTGCTACGGCTACTGCGTAGGACCAAACTTTTTCAGTAAATGGCCAGATACAGTCAATAGTAAGCTTTGGGGGATGCATCCAATTTTTTTTTTTTTAAGTTTAAAAATGTAGAAATCATCCTTTTGGCCTACAGGTTGTGGAAAATCAACGAAACCCTAATAATGAAAATTATTTTGACCATTTAGAAGATAAGCTCAGTGTTTGATTCACACTGTGTGATTCCTTTATTGAATCACATCTTGCCTGTTCAGAGCAAAGGCCACGTGAAGGATTTCCTATTCCTAACGCCCTTTCCAGCCAGGAGGCCGGGAGCACCTGCTGAGCTTGGAGAGACGCCTCCAGGACGGAGTGTGCACGCCTGGGGGAGGCCTGCTGCCGTTACCTGGCAACTTCAGCCTTCAGTCGGCCGACCTCCTCAGTCAGCTGCTGAATCCGCTTTGTATGGACTTCCTTCTCAGAAAGGAGCTTCCGATACTCTTCTGTATCTGGATCTTTCTGCTGATTTATCAGATGCTAAATGGCAGAAAAGCACACTTGTTTTTTTAGGTTTTATGAAATATACATGCTGTACCAGAATCTGGCTTATTCGCATCAGGAACTCTGCATATAAGATGAGCAAACACTGACTTCTGAGACATTGAGTAAAAGCTGTTTTTTTTTAAAACCTAAGACATGTAGCAAAAATATCACGTCATAATTGATGATTATCTTTTCATAGTTATGGATGAACACTTGAGGTTAGCTCAATAAAGCCAAATTAAATAGATACACTCAGAAAGCCTTTATTATTAAAAGTGCCAGATTTCATTCAAGTGACTGTAAGAGGGAAACCATACAGTATCCTCCCTCTTGACTTTTCAAACCGTTGGTATAACAAGAAGTAACTATAATTCTACAATGCTGGGCAGCTAGCAGTGCCTACTGCTGCTCAACAGCTCTTTCTAGGTGCCAGCTGCCGTGAACGGTTTCACAGGCACTGAATTTTTGTCATGCTGAGAGCTATTACTTTATAAATGAGGAAAGTCACACCTTAGAGAGGTAAAGAACTCTAAGCCACATATTCTCTGAGTAAAGCAGATCTCCCTCTTGCTGAATCAGAGCCAGCTTCTAACCACTCCAGGCTGGATGGTTTCCCTTCCCCAAAGTGGCTCTAGTGGACAATCTCCCTAAGTGCTTCAATAAATTATTATGTCTAAAATATTTTAGAAAGACACAAAACTACAACTAAACTAACAGATTTTGGGAAATAAATACCTGGTTTTAAAAAATATACAGAATGTAACCAAAGACATGTTTTGAAAGTAGCTCCTGGGTTGGTTGTTGTAACGCAGCACTTCAGATCCATGCTTTTGTGCTTTGGAGCAGATGCTGACTCCACTGACCTGGTTACGTGCTTTCCACCGTTTGACATCCTCTTCTAGCAACTTCTTCTCTGCTTGCAACATGCCACTTTTCTCACTGAGCTCAGCATTCGCTTCTTGCAGGGGTAGGATGTCCAGCTCCAGCTTGCGCACCTGGAAGTAGAGCCAACATGTTGTAACAGTCATTGCTAACACCCTCAGGACAGCGAGCGCCTGCACTCGGCACACACAGACCTTTGCTTGCATTTGCTGCAGTTCCTGCTCCAGCCTCTCCTTCTCCTCTCTCAGCATCTTATTGGTCTCCATAACGACATTCATCGTCTCTGTTTTCTTCATCAGTTCTTCATGCTGAGCCATAGTTTTTGCAGTCACCTAAAGGTTGTGAACAGATACATCCACATCTAACAATTCCTTTAAAAAAGGGTTGTTTTTCTCTACTAGTTCCAACTCTCCTGAGAAGGTAGAAAGGATTTAATTTTAAGACTAGCACTTCTGAAAGTCCTTTTTCTATTTCTTCTGTGATGTAACCTAACCACACAGTTCAGATATAAACAGATACTACAAATCCTGCCAACAAATCAGCAGTACTAATACTAGGAGGTAAGGACATCAATTCAGACCTGGATTTATCGTTTCTGTACTTAAAGCTGGATGGTGTAGAGGACATAAACAGACTGACCAGGCCAAAGCCACATGCCCACAACTCCAGCTGCGTCCATCATGTGGGTGACAGATCCAATACTCCAGCTACCACCTGCTGCCTCCACATCCAGGCTGATGCGGGCACATGCCCACAACTCCAGCTGCGTCCATCATGTGGGTGACAGATCCAATACTCCAGCTACCACCTGCTGCCTCCACATCCAGGCTGATGCGGGCACATGCCCACAACTCCAGCTGCGTCCATCATGTGGGTGACAGATCCAATACTCCAGCCACCACCTGCTGCCTCTACATCCAGGCTGATGCGGGCACATGCCCACAACTCCAGCTGCGTCCATCATGTGGGTGACAGATCCAATACTCCAGCCACCACCTGCTGCCTCTACATCCAGGCTGATGCGGGCACATGCCCACAACTCCAGCTGCGTCCATCATGTGGGTGACAGATCCAATACTCCAGCTACCACCTGCTGCCTCCACATCCAGGCTGATGCGGGCACATGCCCACAACTCCAGCTGCGTCCATCATGTGGGTGACAGATCCAATACTCCAGCTACCACCTGCTGCCTCTACATCCAGGCTGATGCGGGCACATGCCCACAACTCCAGCTGCGTCCATCATGTGGGTGACAGATCCAATACTCCAGCTACCACCTGCTGCCTCCACATCCAGGCTGATGCGGGCACATGCCTCGTGTGGTTACTCCGCGCTTCGAGCGGCTGGGTTCTCAGGAGTCATTCTGCCATCCCAGGGAACTCTGAAGAACTGCTTTCTTCTCTTGGGAGTGACGACCCTGCTTTGTCTCAGGTCACTTTCTCCCTACCAGTTTGAAACCGTAACAAGTTTCATGGTGCCAAGCCACACAGCTCAAGCTCACTCGGGTGCCATATTATCTTTAATGTGACTTGACTCTCCCCTTTATCCAAAAGCTGGCTTCTCCTCTGTCCACGCTCAGGGCACGTACCTGGACCTTCTCCCTTTCGGCATTCAGACTGTCCTGCAGTTCCTGTAGCTCTCTTTCCAGAAGTTCAACTCTCTGTCGATAACGCAGACTCTCCACCTGAGCCACCTCAAACCTCGTTTCAGCGATTTCTTTTTCTCTTCGTATAAATCTGTAAGAACATGTTTGTGTAAATTTTACTTGAATTAAGAAATAAAGCCAACATGGTAACACTTCAAAACCTGGATGATTTCTACATTATATAAAAATCATACAGATGACTTTTTTCATGTTTTCATTAATAATAAACAATGGGAAAGAGAATTTCTTTTTAATGATGTCTGAACACATCTATACCTTTAAAGTGACCTGAAGGAAGGATCCACTCAAGTTCCTCACCACATCAGCTTTAAGTCACTTCGGTGACGTGCGAAAAGTGTCCACTAACTGGACAGCAGTGACTGCCGTCCAAAGTGAGCATTGAAGGTAGACTATGGAGAAGTTACCTTCCCAACTCAGACATTTGTAGTTTCACTTCACAGCCTTACACAGAAATGAAGATATTAAGACTGACCTGAGAATTTCTAAAATTTGTTCCTGTGATTTCCCTTCCTCACTGAGAGAGAAATTCAGTGGGCCTTGCACACCCTCCTTCATGGAGGCCACAACCTTGTCACTTAAGTTTTCAATCTGATCATGAAGTAATCGGTTTTGTTTCTCTAGATCTTCACAGCGAGACACACACTTAGAAACTTCATCCTGCAAACCAACATGGCATCACAAGAGTGGACTAGCACTGCACAGTAAAAAACAAACAAAAAACCACCCAAACCCAACTCTCTCAGTTCCCCAGAAATTCTATTATGACCGACGACGATACCTTTAGCATTCTCTCTCTTTCCTCCCAAGATGCTTTACACTCCAACAACTGGGATTCTGCCTTCTGGGCTGTTTGTTCCAAATGTTGGCGCATTGCAGCCATTTTGGAAACCTGCTCCTTGGCGGCCTGCAGGGCCTCCACATCCGCAGCATGCAGCATCAGCTCCCTCTCGTATTTGTTCTGGGCCTCCACCGCCATCTTAGCCTGCAAGAAATTATGCCCCCAGCGGACACAAAGCACTGAAAATCCCTACAGGAGGCCAATACCTTTGAGAAAGGCATGTATTTTATTTTCAAAACAGAAGACAACTTAAATGTATCTAGATGGGAATAACTATAAGCTGTACTGTAACCAAATAATAAAATATATAAAGGTAGAAAAAGGAAACAATATTATGTAGCCAATTTCAAATTTCCATCAGACTAAAAGCCGCCTGTAACTGCACTGTGTTTACGACAGCCATACACGCACAAGCAAAGAAAACCAGAGCAAACAAACCAGGCAGCGGGCTTTGGATTACAAGTACAGACTGAACTCCTTCTCTGAAATGCCTGCACTTCGGAACAGATGCACAGATTCTGTAACTGAAACTCCAAAACATGCCTTGATCTAAAACTGTCCAAGCACCAACAGGGAGGAGCAGCAGTCTGAACTTCAGATGTCCAACCCGTCCGAATATTATCTGATTTCACTTTGTAATGTTACGTTGTTTGGCAACCAGATTATTAATGTTGTGGTGTGTGTGTTTGTAATAGAAACACAAGCAATAAAAAACAGTAGCCAAAATGAGAATCTATTAACATACCACGCAAATGAAAGATTATCAATATATTGCATCTCTCCATTCTACCAGTTTAACAATCAATGTCTTGGGCCCGGCGGTGTGGCCTAGCGGCTAAAGTCCTCGCCTTGAACAAGCCGGGATCCCATATGGGTGCCAGTTCTAATCGCGGCAGCTCCACTTCACACAGCTCCCTGCTTGTGGCCTGGGAAAGCAGTTGAGGACGGCCCAAAGCCTTGGGACCCTGCAACTGTGTGGGAACCCTGGAGGAAGTTCCTGGCTCCTGGCTTCAGACTGGCGCAACACCAGCTGTTGAACTCACTTGGGGAGTGAATCATCGGATAGAAGATCTTCCTCTCTGTCTCTCCTCCTCTCTGTATGTCTGACTTGCAATAAAAATAAATCTTAAAAAAAAAAAAAAAATCAATGCTTTTCCCTTCACCTGAACCACGTTTTTTATTTCTCATTTATAAAAAATTAAAAATCCCATGTGTGCTTGTGCAAGTATATAAACACACATGTCGGGAAACGAGAGCCTGTCTTTAAAGGTCCCAGCAGCGCATGACAAGGTCCTGGTGCAGCTGAGGGGCGGTGTCTTAATGAGGTTATCTGGGAGAGCGTCTCACAGCCGCACCTAGAGGCCCGCAGCGGCTGAGGACCACTGACAAACGCAGGTGCACTGTCTCCTATTCCTGCCTCAGTCATTGCACACTTTACTGTTGGCCTTCGACTGATCTGAAGCCACTCCCTGCCACTGGAGATCATCCTGAAGTTTTCTAAGCTGCGGCAGTGCCCTGAGAAGCGTTGTGGGAGGCGGCGACAGCAGCACTCACCTGCTCCTGACAGTCCCGTCGGGCTTGCTGCTCGTTGCTCAGAGCTGTGCTGGCTCTCTGCAGAGCCTCCTGGACTTCATTCTGCACGCTAGAAAGTGTTTTCTTCAACTCAGACAACTGTGTGGTAAAAGTAAGATTAGAACCAGAGTTAGCAACAAGCTTACTTGGAAAAACATTGGAGAAAGAATCTGCAAGACTTAATTCGCACCAAGGGCTGCTGTTAAATTCAAAATTGTTATATATAGCCTGATGAAATCTACTACAGAAATCCTGCATCTTACTGTTGGCAAAGCCACACCTTGAGAATACTTAGCCAAGAAAGCACGGCCCCTAAAGAGACATCCAAATACACAGCACAGAGGAGAACCAAGTGGAGACCGTTCATGAGTTTGTCAAGCCAGTGTGAAGCAGTCAAGGAAAGAATTCACACATCCTCACGACGGAAGCAGCTACCACGGCTGGGAGCCGGCTCACCTGCTGCTCCATGCTCTCTATGGCTCTTCTCTTGTCATCCTGAAGTTCTTGCTTTTCCTTCTCTACTTCCATCAACTTCTTTTCCAACTGTGTCTGAAACTCAGCCGATTCTTTTAAACGAACTTCAATGTTTTTACGTACTTCTTCTGTCACCTTCAACATGTTAAAAAATACACACTTAATTCTAGACCACATTGGTTTCTCCTCACCCAAATGAGAGGCACTAAGAGTAAGGTTTGCAATAGAAAAAGTGCCCATCAAATGCCGATGACAAGATTAAAACAAGTAAGGCCATTACACCAATCTAATCTACAAGCATAATTTGTTCTGAACTTGCCTACTAGCCATTTTTAAAATTCTGGAGTGCGAGCCAATTTTTAAAAAGACTTCATTTAAAAGGTAGAGTGGTGGGGCAGCGGGTAGAGAGGACAGGGGCAGAAAAGGAGAGCAGTCAGGTTGCAATGGCTGCATCTGGGGCAGGCTGAAGCGAGAAGGCTGAAACTCCATCTGCGTGTGCGGGGGGGCCCAGGGACTTGAGCTGTCACCTGCTGTCCCACGGAGCTTGGGAGCAAGCAGTGGACAGGCTTGAGCCAGCTCCATCGTATGGGACGCCAGCATCTCCAGCAGCAGCCTAATTCACTGCACCACAACCCTGGTTCGAAAAACTTGTAATTGGTCACCTCTCCTACAACCGTCACATCTAATTAACAAATGCACCTAATCTAACACTGAGCTTACTCTGCCTATACATGTTGATTGTCACTGATGCCGACCACAAAAAGATCTTTTACAACTGTGGCCCCGGCCTACTGCTACAGCCCCCAAATCATCTTTGCATTCATTTTCTTCAAATGAACACAAAATTCTAGTAACGGCATGGTGTTTAAAAACTCAACAGTCCTCAATAAGGACTCGGAACATAACTTAACCTGATAATAAAAATCTTTCACATCTGTTTTTTGACGAGTTCTACAATTATATACTCCTCACTGTTTGATTTCAATACAGTAGCCATAGTGTCAGTATCTGAAGTCATGTCCCGCTGGCTCAGGGTCTGACTGCTCCGTGCCGTCTAAGGCCCCAGACGAGGCCTTCTTCAAGTCACTGCAGCAATGTCGTCATTTCCGGCAAGGCCATGTACGTTCAGGATACAGACATTCCTGGATGCTTCCCAATTCTCAGCGTTCACGTGCTTTTCAATGACAACCGCCCAAGCTCGGAGGACTTTGCGTGCTTGTCTTACCAGGCTTATTACACCCCAACTATTCTAAGTGTAATGCTGTCAGTACAATTCACATCACCATGTTTTCCATGATTTATGAAGGCAGTGAAGAATCATGTTCAGATTCAATTTGGGATCGATCATACCTGCTTCTCCTTGTTCAGGGATTCTTCTAAACTGGTAGCCATTGCTCGATACTGCTCCACGTTACTGGTACTTGTCTTGAGTCTCTCCCTCAGGTCACCCACCTGCTCCTGCGCCTGCCTCAGCTGGCTGACAAGGTCATCCACACCTTCCTTCTCACTAGGCTGACCTGTAAGACACAAACGCTCTCAGGACTGTTCTCAGACGCAAAAGTACTGAATTACCTAGAGTACATTTCAACCCATGCTGAATATAAAAAGTAGATACTTTGTTATTGATAACAATTATTTCCTGAAGTGATCACTACCATTACACAGAGAGTGTGCTGAGGCTGAGCACACGGCCCAATGGCTCAATCTCCCTTTGCAAACTCCAGGATCCCACATGGATGGTGGCTCCACTCCCAGCTGTTTCACTTCCCACCCAGATCCTATTAGCCTGGGAAAGCAGTAGAGGATGGCCCAGAACCTTTGGACCCTGCACCAAAAGCAGCTCCTGGCTTTGGATCGGCTCAGCGCTGGACACTGCAGACATTTGGGGAGTGAACCAGTGGACAGAGTATCTGTCTGTCTCTCCTTCTCTGTAAATCTGAACTGCGTTTCCAACAAAATATAAAATTAAACAGAGTTAAGAGTGTGCTAGAACATCAAACATTAAGTTCTGCTTTAAAAAAAAATGTTGAAGGCCTAGCACAGTAGCCTAGTGGCTAAAGTCCTTGCCTTGCATGCATGGGATCTCATATGAGCACCTGTTTGTATCCTAGTTGCTCCACTTCCCATCCAGCTCCCTGTTTGTGGCCTGGAATGTAGTAGAGGATGGCCCTAAGCCCTGGGACCCCGAAGAAGCACCTGGCTCCCAGCTTTGGAATGCCTCAGCTCTGGCTGTTGAGCTCACTTGGGGAGTGAACCAGCGGAGGCAGTTCTTTGTCTCAGTCTCTCCTTCTCTCTGTAAATCTGACTTTCCAATAATAAAAAAAAAGCCTCATGAATGGTTTCAAGAAATGAAAAACTCAACATTTCTTAGTTGGTGCCATGAGAATGATTTTGAATAGATTGCAAATTTATTCATGTAAAAAAATTAAGCTTTATTATACGAACAATAATTTCTTCACTGGAATCCATAAATAAGGCTATTCACTTACAGCACATATTATAAAACTGAAGAAGTCTATTTTATTTACTTATTATTTACCTTTCCCAGTTCTCTGTGAGGATTGAGAGGCAAGCTGGACTTCCATGTTACCGAGGTGCTGTTTCAATGTAGCAATTTCCTTCTGAGCATTTTTTAACAGCTCTTTCGAGTTCACATGAAGGTTTATCTCAGTATCCAGCTGTCTCTTCGCATCTAAAAGTTGAACCTGCAAGAAATAATACATTCCTCTATAAACACCCTCAGGTTCCTAAGTAACCAGAGTTTTTTACAGACCCCCAACGTTGCCCCAGGAAGAGTTATCAGAAAGGTTTTCTTTCCTTGGACAAACAAAAACCCTGAGAAAACCCGGGAAACGACTCTTATCCCCAAGATGGGAAGCAGAGGTGAGCTCTGGGATTGCTCCACACCGCCTTGACCGAGCTCCCCGCAATGACAGGGAAGGGGAGACAAGGCCGAAGCCAGCAACTCCATGAACGACTAATACACTCCCAACTCCCAGGGACAAGAACACAGAGAACACACAGCAGACAGAACAGCCTGGAAGCAGGCACGGTAGGATGTGGTGTGAACATTCAGGACACACGAAGGAAAACACGAGTCCAGGCAGGGGCCGGAGTGAAGGATGCTGGTACTCACACCCAGTAACACAATGCCCTGGACAGTGGGCCCTGCTCCCAGGAGCTCCCAGCGCACAGCGGAAAGGGATCACTCCGGGACTGGGAACTCTGGCCCGCATAAGACATCACAGAGTAAGAGTCAAACGACTTCCAACTAACTTCTCACATCCTGTAACAGCTCAAGAAAACTCAAATACAAAACTGTCTGCCACTTAGCAGGGTAAAACTTACAATGAAGGACACCCAAACAAAATTCAGGAGGAAAACAAAAACAAAAACAAACAAACAAAAAAGAGGAACAGAGTTCTCAAGTAGCTGTTTAAACACCACGCTTCCACCACTCCTGCGGAGTCACATGGGGGACTCACATCCAGGGTCCTGGTCACACTGTGCTTCTGTTCCACCTCATTCTCCAGCTTCTTCTTCAGATGCGAGACCTCCTGCTCCAGCTTCTCTATCTGGTTACTAAGCCTCTGCTTGGTTTCTGTTTCAGATCGCTCCAGTATTCCCTAAGGCAAAGGGAGGATTTTTGGTTAAGCTGGACAACAGAAGCAATACAATGAAAATCAAAAGCTTCAGAGAATTCCAGGATTATAATTCACTTTTCTAAATGACAAAACAAAGGCTATACTATAGCACATTTGCCAAGAAAATATCCTGACAATTTTCCCTTTAAAACATTTATGTAAGAATGAACAAAAAAAACATGAGAGAGCTGAATACTCATTTAAAGTTCTAAGGAAAATTGGAGTCCAATAAATTATCCTGTAAAATGTGAAGCTGCACAGGGCCTTGTAAATATCTTAGCATCGGCACCACAACTTGCATGACCACAGCAGTCGGGGCCAGGTTCTGTTGAAGCCAGCGGCCAGCCGCCTCTGCGCTTCCTGAGGTCTCCAACGTGCATGACAGAGGTCCAGGACACGAACCCTTTGCCATGCCAACAGCAGGGAGCTGGGTGGGACGCAGAGCAGTGAGCAGATGAACCAATGCCCGCTGGCAGGTTGCCACTGCTGCCAGTGAGTCGACTTGCTATAGTGCAAGGCCACCCCCAATCTATTCTTCTATGTAAATATTCAATTGTCTTCAAAAATCCTTAAAATTCATGACCATGCTGGATGCCAAAAGTGACAATTATACATCTTCAAATTAAGCCAACTGAGACACAAAATAACAAAGTAACTAAATCTAACTTCTATTCACACTTTTCCCTGTTACCTGGACTGTGTGCAGGTTAGTCAGTAGCAGGTTTACCCTCTCTGCACCCAGCGTTTACTGGTTACCTGGACTGTGTGCAGGTTAGTCAGTAGCAGGTTTACCCTCTGCACCCAGCGTTTACTGGTTACCTGGACTGTGTGCAGGTTAGTCAGTAGCAGGTTTACCCTCTCTGCACCCAGCGTTTACTGGTTACCTGGACTGTGTGCAGGTTAGTCAGTAGCAGGTTTACCCTCTCTGCACCCAGCGTTTACTGGTTACCTGGACTGTGTGCAGGTTAGTCAGTAGCAGGTTTACCCTCTCTGCACCCAGTGTTTACTGGTTACCTGGACTGTGTGCAGGTTAGTCAGTAGCAGGTTTACCCTCTGCACCCAGCGTTTACTGGTTACCTGGACTGTGTGCAGGTTAGTCAGTAAAGGGTTTACCCTCTGCACCCAGCGTTTACTGGTTACCTGGACTGTGTGCAGGTTAGTCAGTAGCAGGTTTACCCTCTGCACCCAGCGTTTACTGGTTACCTGGATTGTCTGCAGGTTAGTCAGTAGCAGGTTTACCCTCTCTGCACCCAGCGTTTACTGGTTACCTGGATTGTCTGCAGGTTAGTCAGTAGCAGGTTTACCCTCTCTGCACCCAGCGTTTACTGGTTACCTGGATTGTCTGCAGGTTAGTCAGTAGCAGGTTTACCCTCTCTGCACCCAGCGTTTACTGGTTACCTGGACTGTGTGCAGGTTAGTCAGTAGCACGTTTACCCTCTGCACCCAGCGTTTACTGGTTACCTGGATTGTCTGCAGGTTAGTCAGTAGCAGGTTTGCCCTCTCTGCACCCAGCGTTTACTGGTTACCTGGACTGTGTGCAGGTTAGTCAGTAGCAGGTTTACCCTCTCTGCACCCAGCGTTTACTGGTTACCTGGATTGTCTGCAGGTTAGTCAGTAGCAGGTTTGCCCTCTCTGCACCCAGCGTTTACTGGTTACCTGGATTGTCTGCAGGTTAGTCAGTAGCAGGTTTTGCCCTCTCTGCTCAGCCAGCAGAGACTCTCTTTGCTGGGAAAGCCGAACTTCTGATAATTTGAGCATTTCCTTTTCTTTCTTCAAATTTTCAGCTCTTACCTTGAGGCAAACATAAAAGAAAAAAAATGTTGGATGACATGGTGTCAAATTGAGTAATATAATTATAAAATTAGGTTTTTTTCTTTTTACATGATTTCTGCAAGCACCTAGAGCCTGCCTCCTCAATATGCAAGAAAACATAGATTGTAACTTTATATTTTGAAACAGAAAGCAAAAATTATTGGGAATAAGCCTGAGAAAAATTCTTTTAACTACCACAGATTCATGATTCTTTTAAAACAAACCAAGCTTTAAAAACAAAACCACACAACCAACCCAAATACCTTCAAAAAAGCTCAATCCCCCAAAAAACAAAAGGATGTCAGTATAAAAATTCAAAAGTCGGGCCCGGCGCTGTGGCGCAGTGGTTAAGGTCCTCACTTTGCACGCCCTGGATCCCATATGGGCGCCGGTTCTATCCCGACAGCCCCGCTTCCCTTCCAGCTCCCTGCCTGTGGCCCGGGAAAGCAGTCGAGGACAGCCCAAAGCTTTGGGACCCTGCACCCGCGTGGGAGACCCGGAAGAGGCTCCTGGCTTCGGATCGGCATAGCATTGGCCGTTGCGCTCACTTGGGGAGTGAATCATCGGACAGAAGATCTTCCTCTCTGTCTCTCCTCTCCAATAAAACAATAATAAAAATAAATCTTTAAAAAAAATTCAAAAGTGTACAGTTACGACATTTTCCTACCATCATCTATGGAACAATCCAAGTTTGAGTGCAAATGGTTTCTAAGTATCTGTTTCAAATTGATAATTCATCTACGTAAAATGTCTGTCTCTCTGCCTCCCCAGTGAAGGGTCTACTCTTGAGTCTTGGGATCTGGGAGATTATTTTGAAAATCAACAACCACAATCTTCATATTTACACGGCATGTACCATATTAGTGGCCAATCAGAAGAGTGACTCTGGTTTGACAAAATGCTGCTATGTACTGCCTATGCTGAGCTGCAGTAAGATACCACGACAGAGTACAGCCAAGTGAATTGGAAAACTTGGGTTCAAGCCAACCAACTCGTCTCCGGACCGACTGAAAATGGCCAAAGGACTCACTAGCCTGATTCTATTTCTCAGGCCTTACAAGTGGGTGTCCAAACTTAGCTAAAAGGTAATCATCAAAAAAAGGGCAGAGAGTCAACCTTGTAAGAAAGCAAAATATGGCAAGAAATAACATCACTGGGGGCCTGGGCGCGTGGCCTAGTGGCTAAAGTCCTCGCCTTGAACACGCCGGGATCCCATATGGGCGCCGGTTCTAATCCCGGCAGCTCCACTTCCCATCCAGCTCCCTGCTGTGGCCTGGGAAAGCAGCTGAGGATGGCCCAAAGCCTTGGGACCCTGCACCCGTGTGGGAGACCTGGAAGTTCCTGGTTCCCGGCTCCGGACCGGCCGGCACAGCACTGGCCAATTTGGGGAGTGAATCGTTGGACGGAAGATCTTCCCCTCTGTCTCTCCTCCTCTCTGTATATCTGACTTTGTAATAAAGAATAAATAAATCTTTAAAAGAAAAAAAGAAATAACATCACTGTACTTAGCACTTAATTGGAAGTACTGTTAACTTCAGATAAATGTTTATATACTCAGAAGTAATGAAAGCTGTTATATTCTTCTATAAGGAATGGGCAATAGGGGACAAGCATACATCAACATCGTAGTCTAATGCTTTCAATTTGCTTTTGAAATGACTTACAAGGAAACATGAAATAAAGAGATAACTTGCTTTCTTTTCAATGCTTTAAAAACAAAACAAAACAGTTTCAGTTGAACTAATTTCATTTCTCATGACCTTTCCTTGAAAGGCACAGCTGTAAACCAGCCTTCAGATGGCAGAAGGGTGGGTCTCTGTCCTGTCGCCCAGGGAGCCCAGCAGAGAGCTGGATGGAAGCAGAGCCGCTAACTCAAGCAGGTGCTCTGATACACCACACTGCCGCCCCCCGTCAGGGCCAGAGAGAGGGCCCATAATGCACATGTGTCTGCACGGAAGCTGCATCAATGTCCGAGCAATGACCACCGTGCCGAGCACAGTGTAAAGGGAGGCCTGTGGTCTCACTTCAGCAACCGCCAGCTTCTCATTTGCTCCTCTCAGGTCCTGAGTCATCGTGTTGATGATCTGTTCCTGCTTTTGGGTTGTCGCGGTCAGTTTCTGATTCCTCTCGTGAAGGGAAGTTATTTCTCGACGATATCCTTCAACATTATCTTGTAGCATTTCATAACTTTTATGAAAAAAAAAAAAAAAAAAAAGAAAACTCTCTAAGTAGCTAGAATACTCTCCTGAATACTGAAGAATTTTGTAACAGCTTTTTTCCTAACATAAATCCTTAACCTTCCCCAATCCAGCATTTAAATCTTAATGATACATGCGGCTCACGCTGAGTGTTAAGTTGCACTCCTTTCAAGCACTGACATCAGAGCGCCAACACGAGCCATCGCACACACTGCGTCCGAGTGCCTTCCCCGTGCGTCTCGGCTTTGACCCCTGCCCGTTTCCCGGTGTGTTCCAGTTTACACTGTCTGATTAGACCAGCAGGAGTTACTTCCTGCTAGTTAACTGCCTGATCTACAACCTCAACATACTAAATGTCCAACCATAGCTATTCTTACAACAAACAACTGTATCATGTGCATGAAAAAATAAATTCTGTCCTAACAGGCTGCATTAATAACCACGAGTCCTGTCCCAGTAAGCCACAAGGCAAACTCTCCTTTGTAAATGATCACCAAAGCAGCCTTTCCTGTATTATCAGCACCTGCTTCTCTTCCACCTACAGACCCGACGAATCAAACGTGTTCTTGTTTCTCTCATCCTTCGGGGGCAACAAAGGGTTAGGTCTTACAGGGACAAACCTGCCATCTCAGGAAGAACCTGACAGAATTGTTCCTTTGAACTTGGCCTCCAACTGCCTCGGAGGATTGTGTATCGGCACCTATCGGCACTGCAACTCCCTGGCTGGAACACAGCCCTCCAAGCTAACACTACCGGACGCTCATCTAGATGGACTGATTTGAATGCCGACATAGTTAACACTCCAGCTAGACTAACTTTTCAACCAAAGGAAACTTACCGCTTAGATGCAAAATCTAGTTGTGTAGAAATTTTGGTATTTTGTGATCGTAAATCTGTAACTTGTTCTTGAAGTTTCTCAAGCTGTTCGTTCTGTACTTTCTCGCTATCTGCTTTCTCTTTCTTATAATTCTCAAAAATTTCCTGCAACTAAATAGCAGACATTAGAAGACATTTTTCTCCAAAACCCAATTAAACCTGTGACACTTAGCAGGCACACTCTGTACTGGGTAGGGGCAGCCTCAGCTGTGGCAGGCACGCTCTGTACTGGGTAGGGGCAGCCTTAGCTGTGGCAGGCACGCTCTGTACCTGTTTGAGCGCAGCCTTCGCTTCCACGGCCTCCGTCGATTCAATCACAGGTACTGGAGCAGGAGTGGAAGCAGTCTGTGACGTACCTGGCCGTTTTGGGGTTGACACAAGAGAAATATCTTCCAAATTTGATGCTTGAGAAAGCAAAAAGACATTATCAAGTTAATAAGCCATACTGCAAACACAATCATAAGATTACAAGGAGTCTATTCATTCAAAAATACAGTGTTTTTGATTTACAATTAAAAATAACAGACTAGATATTAAAATGCAATCCAAATACATAATGGATTCACTAAAGACATTCACTAACTCCAAGATTCACCGTTTACAAGTCAGCCTTCATTCTTAGTAAAATGAACAACAATGAACTTAGAATCGAAGACGTGTTCACATTAATCCTGGGGCAGCGAGCCCTAAGGCTACCACTGCCAGGCTGGTTACTGCTTAGGCCGCAAAATCCACTAACCTGTATTTCTGAAATGCTTCCCTAAGGTACCATTTAGACACACACCTTGTAAAGGAATGACAACTCCTGTTGTTTGTGACAACAGAATACGGTACATGTCCCGCTGACGGACGATGGAATCCACCAGCTGCATCTGATGCTGTCGGGACTCGCGCAGCTGCTCCAGTTCCGTGAGGGAGCTCTCCAGCTGCAGCTCAAGTTCCGAGATCCTAGAAGAACGCAATCGGCTGGCTGCGGGGCCTGGGCTTCCGTGGGATGCTCTCCCCTGCCAGAGACCGCTGGGACGCTGTGCGCCTGCCGTTTACCAGGCGGCCTCCCTCCTTCCTTCTGCTGATACTTTAGGGACTCACAACTTACACTAACCCCACTGAGCTCACAATCCAGTGCTCTTCGTTTCCCAGTACCTTCCTCCTCTGGCTTAGCACCTTTTCCCTCCTCTTAAGAAATGCCACTCTTTGATAAACACTATGCAGTTCTTCATCCACTTCGTTACCTCTCACCGGACCTACTTCACTCAGACCGCGAGGTCCAAAGGAAAAAAATCACTCTGTCGTACTGCTCAACCTCCCCCCCACTGCCAACCAGTCTGCCCCTGAACTTACTGTGAGGAGCACAGAAGGGATTTCAGCAAGTTTGCTAAAGAACGGAGGTAGGGAGTTTGTGCTGATGCACATTAGGCTATTCCTCTGTTTGTATTACTTGCATCCCACACGGGTGCTGGTTCGTGTCCCGGCTGTTCCACGTTCCATCCAGCTCCCTGCTGTGATCTGAGAAAGCAGCCGAGGACGGCCCCAGTCCTTGGGACCCTGTGCCCACGTGGGGGACCCGGAAGAGGCTCCTGGCCAGGTCAACTTGGTTCTGGCCGTGGCGGCCACTTGGGATGAGAACGAGCACATGGCGTATACCTTTCTCTCACTCACACCCTCCGTAAAACTACCGACTCCCAAATAATAAATAAAGAAAAGGAAGGAAGGCAGGACGCACACTGAGGTTGCCAGTCAGTGCTTACTTGGATGAGGTCGTTTCTTGTTCCTCTCTCTCTCTGGTCTCCCCAAGTTCCCTAAGAGCCACTAGGAGACGCTGATTTTGCTGCTGGAGCTCTTCAATGTTTCTGTAGGACACGAGGTGCTGGGATATCACCTCAGATGAACTGCTGATGTCGGCGGAGCTCACCTCTTCGTCACGAATCACGTGGTTACCCCGTGCTTCTTCAAGTTCCATCAAAAGTACTCTAATCTAAAAGGAAAGTTCAGTATGTGCGTCACAGGAACAACCGAGTCTGCAAATGCACAGAAGAAAACCCACGTCTCCCAATGAGAACCGGAAGTGACAGAACGTCACACGTGACACCCGGATACTACAACCCAGGCAAGGCGACTTTAACGGACCAAGGTTATTACGGTGTACAATGTAAGCTGTTACTAAAACATGGCTCTGAGATAAAATAAACCTCAGAGACACAAACACACACAATAACCTGTGTGTGTACTGCATAGTAGCACGAACGAAGATCATGAAAGACACTGTTGTAAGCAAAAGCAGATTATAACGCCATCCTTATGACATTTTTACAAATAACTTACACACCATGAAACAGGGAGAAACAGGGCCGAGGAGCTGAAGAAAATGTTGATTCAGCTCGGAAATGCTTTTCACTTAGGACGTGTGTGAATGTATAATTAAAAATTCATCAAACATTTGATCAAAAGTATATTCTAAAAAACAAATGACTATGTACAACTCCCACAGTACTGCTAATTACAATTTCCTCTGTGGTAGCTCTGCCTCAGATACCCTAAAACTGATTCAATTTCCTGTGCAGCCAATGTAGAAAAGACAGTGACGCCTGACCTGCTGTGAGAGGTCCTTGACTTGTATCTCCAGCCTCTGGTTGTCTCTCTCGAGCACGGAGGAGTGCTTGCGGGCTTTGTCCGTGTCCTCCTGCAAGCGCTGGATCTCCTGGAAAAGGCAAAGCATCAGTGTTACTTTCTCCCAGAATGAATGGCAGACAGACACGTCAGGCTGAGGACGAGATCCGTTATCCACCTCAAGCATTCTGCACAGTACAGCCACCTCCACAGGAGAACAGTCTAGACTTGACGCACCACGGGAACATCTGTCTGCACCCTGACAGGCAAGCTGCTGTCCTGCGTCACTCACCGTCACCTACGATCTAACAAGCCACACTGAACACTGAGCTAGCAAACGACATCACAAGTTCTCAGAAACTGCCTTAAGACGGACGGAAGTCTACACTCATCACTGCACGGACTATTTGCAAAAATAAATAAATAAAGCAGTTTGAGATACAAGAGACTTGACTCATAAAAGATGCCTTGGGAACCAACTCTGAAGAAGCAACAGCGGACGTACAAGGCACCAAGGAGCGGGGCAAGGAGCCTGCCAGGGCAGCACAGTCACAAAGCTTACTTCCAAACCTGTTTCCATGTAATAATTCCAAGTAGCAACGCTGCTGTTTCAAGTACTCTGAGGACACTCACTACCCTAAAGTTGTGCAAACCAATTTTAACAGAAACAGACTGTGAGAAAAATGAAGCAGGCATTCAAAGATGAATTCAAACAAAGATACAACTCTACGGGGTTTGCCACAGCAATAAGGTGACAAGGCAAGTCTGCCCTCAAACCCTAAGACCTTCACAAACATTACACAGTGTAGATTGGAGATAACAACACACAATGGACTTAACATCCAGTTTCGGCACACAGAAATCAGCTCTGAACACCTTGGTACAAAACGCGTTTGAGAATTCTCACTGCTATAAATGTCCACGAATGAAGCCATGGCTGCTGCGACCTGGTGCAAGGGCCTCTCCTCAGCGATCCCCTGAAGCAAACACTCTGCCTCACGCGCTCGGCCCGCACAGCTGGCCGCCTCACGCGCTCGGCCCGCACAGCTGGCTGGCCTGGGGCTGAGTCAGCAGGCGGGAGCCGCTCGCTGCAGCACACGTGGATTCCTGCTAAGCTGTACTCGTGGCAGACTTAGTTCTGAATTATGGACATTGTTTATTCATGCTCTTATCCCCAAAGAAAAAGAAGCTTATCAGTTTAGAATATTGACTACCAATTCACTTAAACTTTATCAATAAAACTTGCTTTAGATCTTCCTAAGCTATCTGAAAAGCAAAATAACTAGGTATAAACACTATGTAATCACTACTCCAAAGCAACTGTCAAAGCTAAAACATTACTTCTGAACTTTCTCGACAACATCAATAGACAAGGGACCAGTAATACAACGAAACCTACTGGACGCACCACATTGTGGAGATGTCTTTACCTAGCCAACAACACTTAACACAGATTTTCACAACTGCTGTCCAAGAACAGTGAAGCTTCAGTGAGAAGAGTTCTACCATGAGAGGTGAGGAGACCCAGCCATCCTCCTCTACTGCAGGACCCTGAACAGATCCAAGTGCCCTAAAGCACACACAAGGCCTTCACGATTCTCGCCAAAGCACAGCATCCTGTGCTTGTTTAATGAGAAGCATCCAAGCATATGGCCAGTGTTAATACTGAGAGTGATTCGGCTTTTCCGACCCAGACACCTCAAGAACCACCTAGGGAGAGACTTCGCAGGAACCAACCTTCATGGCCTGCTCGAGCTTCACGGAGAGACTGGCCACAGCTTTCTGCGCACGCTCATACTCCTCACGCTGGCGTTTCAGGATGGGAGCTTTGGCTTCAACTTCCTTCACAATTTCATCCAGATATTTATTAATTCTTTTGTTCTCCAGTTTCTCTAACAGCAGCTGGTCCTGGGCTTCCACGTATGCGTTATATAGCTGCAAGCACAAGCAGGTCATTTCACACACACACGTGTCATACAGCTGCGAGCACAAGCGGGTCACTTCACACACACACGTGTCATACAGCTGCGAGCACAAGCGGGTCACTTCACACGCACACGCACACGCACACGTACACGTCATACAGCTGCAAGCACCAGCGGGTCACTTCACACACACATGTGTCATACAGCTGCAAGCACAAGCGGGTCACTTCACACGCACACGTCATACAGCTGCAAGCACAAGCGGGTCACTTCACACACACACGTGTCATACAGCTGCGACCAGAAGCAGGTCGCCTCACACGCAGGTGCACAGTTCATTTCATTTCTCAGTAAACACTCTACAGCATTTACCCAGGAGGGAAATGTTCATGCATGTTCGACAAAATTAGGAATGAACAAAAATCTTCTCTAGAACGACCCACCGACCACCAAATTCAAGTGTTATTCTGAGGAACAATTAAGTTCCAGAGGGCTTTGAGCATGTCAACTGAGGGAAAACAAATAACCTACTAAGTCTGGGGGATTTTACCTCGGTTAACTTCATGCCAGGCTTCACGATCTTGGCTACTGCTGCTGCAGTGGGAGACATGGCCACCAGCTCTTCCTCAGACAGGATAGCGCCTACACACACAAACACACATACGTCTAGGATCATCTCGTACTTTTTAAAGTAAAAGTCAACACTTCTCTCAGGATAAGCAAGGACTATAAGTCATAGGACATTTCCTACAAATATTTTTAAAACAGGATATCTTTGCAAAACAGCAAAATTCTAGAAATTGTTATAATTAGAGTGTAACTCTAAATGCTTATGCTGTTTCGTAATGTAATTTCCTGTATTGTAGCCAAAAAGCACCGGTCGGGAAGCTCTGGGTTTTCCAGCCACGGCCGGCTTCTATCAGTCATACCTTTGCGCTTTGTGGCAGACAGGAGGTCATTTGCGTTTTCTAATTCTTTCTCCAATTTTCCAATTTTCTCTAGCATTTCTTTTTCCACTCGCTCTTTAGACTCCTCTACCTCCAGAAGATGATCTTGTACTGCCTTGTTGGCTAGAAGATTTCAAGAACAGGACACCCAGTTAATTTCCTGCAGGTTGTACAGAACACCGGTTTCCTCCTGGAGACGGCAGCGAATGCCTGACAGTTATCTACCGAGCGCTCCTCCCAAGGGTAACTTTTGAAATGGTCTGTTCTAGGGAGATTTTTATTTCTATCATGTAAAAAAGGTAACTCAAATGATTTTTAAAAAGTCTTTAGCCCATCTTAGTTTTCAACTTTGATCTTTAGTCCAGAATGTAAGAAACGGCCAAGAAAGACCAAAAAGAATCTCGGCTGTCCATATCCCTGGGTTCTACATGTGTGTGTAACGAACAAGATACTGAGAAGCAAGCGGATTTGTACACAACACCTAGTACTCACAGGCTCATGTATTAACATTTTTCAATCATACAGCTTAACAACTTTTTATGCAGAATTCACCATGCGCTAGTTATCGTAAAGTCACTGAAGCATGATTTATTAAACTATACAAGAGGATGTTCATGGTTTATCTGTAATTTATCTAAGGAGTCTGAAGATGTCTAGATTTTTGTATCGTTGGAACAAAACACCAGATTCCAGGAGACTTTACACTATGCTAGTGACAATCAGACAGGATGCTTCATTTAAACAGCTGCAACAGCTGGAGCTGTGGCCAGGCAGCAAACCCAGATCCAGGTGTCCCACCCGGAAGGCAAGGGCCCACCTCCTGAGTCCTGTTCTGCTGCTTCGCCACGCCGTCAGACACGGCCGGAGTAAAAGCAGAGCAGTGGCGTGCACAAGCAGCCCACCGGAAGCCTGCGTGCAGGCACCACAACCCTGGCCCCGAGCCAGGTGTCCTGCACCCAGCACACTTACCTTCTCCTGCTTCTTTCAGCAGTTTGTGTAGCTCATCTACGGCACGGGTTAGCTCACTGCTCTTGGCTTCTGAGTCATCAGCAGCACTCTAAACATTAACGTCAGTAAGTTACCTTCCAGCCAATGACGCAACGTCAGGATCCCAGCATTTGTGATATTTACCTTATACAAGTTAGAGAGTTTGATGTGAGCATTTAATTCACTGTGGAATTTCTCTTCCATGCTGGCTTGCTGTTCCTTAGCCTGCAAAAAACAAGAACAAAAGCCCTCCCTCAACTGTCAGTCTAGCTTGAACTCAATTTTGAATTCTTACGTATTGCTGTAATTAAAGTTTTTGTAAAGAGAAAGGCCATGAATCATACACAGTAAAATAATATTGAATTTTTTTAACCTCAAGTAGAATAAATGGGATTAGAACAAATCCACTCTCATTTTTAGACAGTATTTGCATACACAAACCACATAACTGCTGTTTTTGAGTCTATTTTAGCCCAACTACACCAGAGAGAGTTCCGGCTGCTACATGGTGCCAGGAACAGCCTAGGATTCTGTACCTCTTTGGATTTCGTCAACAGATCCTCCACGTGCTTCTGCAGATGCTCATTGGAGGTCTTCAAACCATTCATCTGCTCCTCCAGGCGGGACACCTACCACCACAGAGGTCAGCGGATACAAGGGTCAGCCCGTCACAAGAAACAACATCATCCCCCATCCCAAAAAGCGCATATCTTACAAAAAGAGGCATGGAGAAAAAGAAAAAGCCCACAGAATAGTGTTTAGCCTTCAGCACTTCATAAAGTTTGTAACAGAACGTATCCATTCATCCAAAGATGATTCTTAGAATCATTTATATAAATGCAACTGGTGATTTCCCCATTTCAAATGTAACCACTCATACCTTCTACACTGACCACAATCACCATTCATCAAGGTATGCCACTAAACACACACGCGAACAAACCTTAACTACATCCAAAGTGCACAGACACAATTTCACTGAATTTACCTCCTCTTTTTTATTCTCAAGATTACACTTGAGTTCCAGGATCTCATTCCCTTTTTCTCTTCCAAGAGCCAGAAGCTCATCAGTTTTGGTTTTCAGCTCTGCATTCAGCCACGTATTCTGACTATGTAGTAATTCTTTTTCTTGTTCCAAGCGTTTTTCTCGATACTAAAAAGAACAAGAAACTGTTATATACTTAGGGACTCCAGCACCGCCTGTAGCGCTGGGCACCTGGCCCGAAAGAGAAAGCATGTCCACCTCCCATCAGGGGTCTGCATCTCCCACCCAGCTCTCGTTGCCCACTCCAGCCCCTAGGAAGCTGGAACCTTCACTCAGCAGGCGACACACAATGTGCTCATGGTTCGGCTGTTGCCAGCATTTGGAAAACTAGCTAGATGAGAACTTGCTCTCTCTGCCCTACCAATAAACACAGCTAACCGAAGCATATATTTATTTTAAAACAGGAATATGTATTTCCACAAAATCTTAATAAAAACATAAGGAACTTCTTAACTCCAAATAAGTAACACAGTTCCATGCAAATTGTTGTAGACTCAATTCTCTGACACTAAAAACATAAACCCCACATCTTTTAATCCCCTGCCTATGTTTAACACGAAGGTTAGGTCAACTTAGAGCCGGCACTGTACTTTGCTCACTTGCCTTAACAGAAACATCAGAAGCTTGAAGTTCGTCCAGTTTTAACTGAAGTTCACCCTTTGTTGTATTGCTTTCTTTCAGCTTTTCATTCAGACGTTTAACATCCTCTACAAAAAACAAGAGAAGCTGAAGATGACAAGTCACCGGACTCGGACACTGAACACCCACCTCCAGATGACAGACCTTTAAAAGCACCCAGCTCCAGCCAGCGCCACCACACTCAAGTACAGATTAAACTTTAACCAATAGGGAAAGACATACACAAGAAGAGACATGGAGTTTCAAACACGTCAATTACAAAGGCTGTTTTGCTTTAAATGCAGTATCCTAAGCTAAATATTCAACTGCAGCCTTAATTTTCCTGATAACAAAGAGCCAATAAAGAACCATCTGTTAAAAAAATGATAAACATAAATTCAGTCTTCTTACGACACAATACACGTTTCACTTTAGCATTATTCCTTCATGTTCGGATTAATTCCCAGTAGCAGCCAACGTTATCCACCAACATTGCAGACTGACCCTTCTCTCACACGAGCAGCAGTTACCTGGCTCAAAGGGATTGACTGCCTGCTTCCCACGACAGAGCCGGCCTCATGCCCGGGGTCCAGCAGCTGCACCCACACCAGGGTGGCTCCTGCACCGGGGCCACCCGCCGGGGCCACCCTGGCCTCCTGACTCCCTTCGTCTGCCTTCAACACAGGCTCACTTTGCACATACATTAAATGCTTTTGGAGAGCAAGGATCTCAGTAAAAGATGAACAGATTTAAACTGCCTCCTACTTATCCTAACAGGCAGAATTGTAGTGAAAATCCTTGCGTGTGAGCTCTGGGTGCAGTTACTTTTTTTGAGATGTTTTTCCTTTGTGCACCTTCGCTTTTAACTTTTGTTAATAGCACAGACAGAAATGAGTCAGAAAAGTGAGATGCAGAAAAAACAGGACGCTAACTCTTAAGGAAGCTAGACTCAAACGACAGCGGAGACAGAGTGGGGATACCGGCACGTTCATACCTGTTAAATATTCAAGCTCTTGGGACAATCTTTCATTGGTTCTAACTAAGTCTCTTTTCTCAGCTTCTAATTCCTCTTTTGTTCTTGTAAGTTGGTTCTGTGATACAAAGTAATAACTTTAAATTAGAAAATCAGGTCCTTTACTTGAACACAAAGCCGACACTCAGTTTCAAAATGGTTAATTCTCTTCATGAAAACATTTAAAGATTACCCACACCCAATACTTGTATTCATATTCTGAATCTTTAAAGCTTTTCCCCACAGAGAGACTTTTCCCGTTATATCATGTGCTAACATTCTAATTACTGAAATAAGCTGGGTAAGACATGTAATGTTCTTTGCTCTCCTGAAAACTACATTTCCACTTCAGTTCAGCCTGTTTCTCAAGACGGATCCCTAGAACTACAATTCCATGGAGCCCCAAGCTGTGCTGCACCCCAACACCAGCTTCCCAAGGCTCTCCGGTCAGTCCTACCCCGATTCCCAAGGCATCAATGCAGACACCTTGCAAGGTGGGCCAGGGAACAGGGCCAAGTGGGGGAACAGGGCCAAGTGGACGCTAACAGGAGGGGTGAGCATCATTCCTGGGGTCTGCAGTCCGCGGGGAAAGGCTCCATACCACCACTGCACATCACCTCCTGGGGTCTGCAGTCCTCAGCGAAGGCTCCATACTACCACTCCACATCACCTCCTGGGGTCTGCAGTCCGCAGGGAAGGCTCCATACTACCACTGACATCACCTCCTGGTGTCTGCAGTCCTCAGCGAAGGCTCCATACTACCACTGACATCACCTCCTGGGGTCTGCAATCCTCAGCGAAGGCTCCATACTACCACTCCACATCACCTCCTGGGGTCTGCAGTCCGCAGGGAAGGCTCCATACTACCACTGACATCACCTCCTGGGGTCTGCAGTCCGCAGGGAAGGCTCCATACTACCACTGTGCATCACCTCCTGGGGTCTGCAGTCCTCAGCGAAGGCTCCATACTACCACTGCACATCACCTCCTGGGGTCTGCAGTCCTCAGGCTCCATACTACCACTGACATCACCTCCTGGGGTCTGCAGTCCTCAGCGAAGGCTCCATACTACCACTGTGCATCACCTCCTGGGGTCTGCAGTCCTCAGGGAAGGCTCCATACTACCACTGACATCACCTCCTGGGGTCTGCAGTCCTCAGCGAAGGCTCCATACTACCACTGCACATCACCTCCTGGGGTCTGCAGTCCTCAGGCTCCATACTACCACTGACATCACCTCCTGGGGTCTGCAGTCCTCAGCGAAGGCTCCATACTACCACTGCACATCACCTCCTGGGGTCTGCAGTCCTCAGGCTCCATACTACCACTGACATCACCTCCTGGGGTCTGCAGTCCTCAGGGAAGGCTCCATACTACCACTGTGCATCACCTCCTGGGGTCTGCAGTCCGCAGGGAAGGCTCCATACTACCACTGTGCATCACCTCCTGGGGTCTGCAGTCCGCAGGGAAGGCTGCATACTACCACTGTGCATCACCTCCTGGGGTCTGCAGTCCGCAGGGAAGGCTCCATACTACCACTGTGCATCACCTCCTGGGGTCTGCAGTCCGCAGGCTCCATACTACCACTGACATCACCTCCTGGGGTCTGCAGTCCGCGGGGAAGGCTCCATACTACCACTGCCTGATGAGCCAGCTTTCTACAAGCAAAGGTCCAAGTACACTTCTCCCAGGATGACTTTCTTCTAATCTGTTAGCAGTCATCAAATTTATGAACACTCAATATTTTCACTGAAAAAGTCGTATATTCCATTTCCTTTTCAGGATTTTTATGCACGCAATTAGAAAACTTTATTGAGTCTATCATTCTTTCTCATCATTACTTTGTTGCACTGTTTTTCTGCTTAAGAATATTTTTTAAAAGTAATTTCACTGTGCACATTTGCGCTTCATACGTGACAGGACATATGCACACAGAAGGGTTCCTGTTCTGAAGCCAGCTAACTTACCTATCATCCCAAAATTGGCTTTACACCAGCAAACGCAGTTTATTTAATAAAAATCCCTAAGACAGTTTCACTAAGTCAAATTCTCTCATCAGATTGTGAAATTTACAATGGCTCATCCCAGCTTTCTGCTTCATATCTTCCGACGTGCCTTCTCATCCCTGCGGGTATCTGGCCTTTGAAAAGGCTACTCTTTCAGTGTGTCACTCGCACCTGCCTGGAGCTCCTTCCCTGGTGGCTTAGGACGGAGTCCACTGGTGCAGCTCATGCTCTGCTGGACACCTACACTTCCCCCCAGCTGTGGACACGGTGGCGTCCTCTTGCAGGACGGCTGGGCTGCGTGGCCATCCTAACTAGGGCAGGAACTGCCGCAGTGTCTCCATGAAGGCTGCACTAACCTACACTGGCGCTTTCCATGGACGATCGTCTCAAATGGGTACGAGATGATGGTGGACAGTGGCTTCAACTTCCGCCACCCTGCAACGCTCATCGCCTTTCAAACGCCTGACCATCGGGATGCCAGCCTCAACGCTGTGGTCCATTTTGAAGTCATTAAGTTTCAAAAATTATTTATAAATTTTGGATACTGACTCCTTCTTAGAAAAATGGACAATTATTTTTCCCAAGACCAGAGGCTGCCTTTTCCTTTTGTTGACTGTTTACCATGCAGAAGCCCTTCTACCATAACAGAGTCTCACTTGCTAATTTTCACTTTTGTAGCTTAAACTGTTGGTGCAATAATCTAAAACTTCTACAGCTGCTGTCCAGGAGTCTGTCCCTCCCAGGTGTGACCCAGTGCAGGGGACGTTTCTCTGCTTCTCCCTCTCTCTTTCAAATCAATCAAGAGATCTTAACAACCACCAAGTGAAATGCACGATACCAGAAACACACTGACATGGAAGTCACCTCTGTCCAGACGCAGGCTCTCACCTGCAGGAGCCTCACCTCCCCAAGGCTGTTCCCAAGCATGATGCAGCTTCGTGCTGCTCGGCAGCTTTTGGAAACAAAACTTACTTTCTAGAGATCTGAAGATACTGCTATCTTTATACCTTAAGTCAAACAAGAACTAAACATACACACAGTATATATCAGAAGTCTAAAGGAATCATCGGGTGTACCAACTTGCTGCACGAGGGAGTCAGCAGCCCTGGTGCCCACGCTCCTCCTGCTACCCTTTCTGCTGCCCACGTGGACTGCACTACACACAGCAACCCGGCCTGGCCTGGCCACACGGGACATAATAAAGGAATGCCTGGTCTCTCACCAAACAACCAAAGACGCCCTTGCGTCAACCCACCTGCACGGCGCTGGTGCGGTCCTGAGCGCTCTGAAGCTCTCTGTTCTGCTCCGTCAGGACCTTCACCTGATTGTCTGGATAAACACAGTTTCACAACCACACACATCAGCTTAGAACTCACAATGGATGTTTTTCACTCAACTGCTGCCCCAAGATCTGAACTGGACTGTGCTGTGAACTCATAAACCCCTCCCACAGACAGCGCTGCAGAGCAAAATTTTAACTGTCTCCAAGTTCATTTCGAAGTGCACAATACTTTACACTTTATAAAATGCTCACAAACATTACCTCACTTGATACGTCAAGTCACGTGACTAAGGGACACGCGGTGTAGCCATGTTACATGCTATGATCAGACATGTATGATCTACAAATGGAAAAACTGTTCAAAACATTTTTTAACTGATCCCTCTACTTGAAAGGCAGAGTAAGGGGGTGGGGAGATAAGGGACCTTCCAGTCACTGGCTCATGACTCAAACCTCCAGGGCCTCGGGCTGGGCCAGGTCAGCAGCCCAGCATCCCAGGCAGGCCTCCCGCAGGGACAGGAAGCCGGACAGAGCAGGTGCGGCTCAAGGCACCCGGCTCCCCGGGCAGGACACAACACAGCCCCGGAAAAACTGCTTTAAAGAGCAAACTCAAATGAGGTGTCCTGCCCTCCAAGTGGCTGAAGCTGAGCTGGCTGGCATTCCTCACCCAGATCCCACAGGCCACCCTTCAGATACTCACGGAGCTTCTCCAGCTCAGCCCGCAAACCCTGGCACTCGCGAGATTCATTCACCAGCCGCTCCTGGCTGTGGCACAGCCTCTTCTCTACCTCGAAGTACTGTTGTTCTGCGAATCACAAGCAGGAGGTCACAGCCACGGACACGAGCGGGCACTGCCCAGGGCGGCCCTTCCTGTCCACCGCCCTGATTCTAGCTGTTGCACTGGAATCCGGGCCCAGAGCAGGGACATCGGGTCGAGAGCGAGAACGGACAGGAGCTTATCCAACAGGCTCGCTCATCCAAAAATACAAGAGCCCAAAGCAGGTTACAGGTGAACCGCTCACGCTGGTAGGCGAGTGCTGGCCAGAAAGTTTTTCCGAGACTAGAAAAGAAAATCACTTGCACAACAGCATGGTTCAGATTGAAAACAGCTTTGGTTTGAAAAACCTTGTAAGATCAGAAAACATGTAAAGTTCACCGAGTGGACGTAAATAAAACACCACAGCAGCCTGTCCAAGGGCAGGAGGCGTCGGCCGGCTTGCAGCTGTCCCGGAGCCCGCAGCCCCCAAGTCCCCAGGAAGTCGGGGCGCGCAGCCTCCCCGGCCGCCCAGGTGCCCGCAGCCCCCCAAGTCCCCAGGAAGTCGGGGCGCGCGCGGCCTCCCCGGCCGTCCAGGTGCCCGCAGCCCCCCAGATTCCCAGGAAGTCGGAGCGCGCGCAGCCTCCCCGGCCGCCCAGGTGCCCGCAGCCCCCCCCGCCGCCCAGGTGCCCGCAGCCCCCCAGGTCCGCAGGAAGTCGGGGCACGCACAGCCTCCCCCGCTGCCCAGGTGCCCGCAGCCCCCCCAAGTCCCCAGGAAGTCGGGGCGCGCGCGGCCTCCCCGGCGGTCCCAGGGCCCGCAGCCCCCCAAGTCCCCAGGAAGTCGGGGCGCGCGCAGCCTCAGGCCGCGGGCGCCGAGCTCGGCCCACTCACCGCTCTCCACCTTGAACTTCTCGTGCCGCCCCTTGAGCCCGTCGATCTCGGACTGCTGGTCGGCCAGGAACTTCTCCAGCTTGCTCTGCACGGCCTTGGGCAGCTTGCTGAGCTCGGCGCGCTCCAGGACCTGCTGCAGTACCGCCGCCATGGCGGCCGAGCGCAGCGCCGAAGGCCCGCCGGCCGCGCTGGCCTCGCCGGCCCTGCTGGCCCCGCTGGCCCCTACGGCCCCTCCGGACGCGGGCGGCTGCTCCGTGCGCCGCGGACTGGCGCGCCGCGACCCTACGGAAAAGAGCGCTCGGCAGCGGCGCGGACGCCCCGAGCTGCGCACGCAGCCGCCGGCAGCGGGGCACCCTGGGACGCCCGCCGCGCGCACGCCCGCTTCCGCCTTCCGCCCGCGCCCGGCCCGCAGTGTCTCTCTCTTTCCGCTCCTCCCGCCAACGCCGGCCCGCGTCGCCCGTTCCGCCTCCTCGGCTCACTGTCCGCGCGGCAGCGCCACGGCCCGCGTCCCGCCCCGGGAGAGCACGGCGTCCTTACCGTCGGAGCCCCGGCCGGCTGGGGGGCGTCCTCTCGGACGGCTTCTAGACACCAAACCACCGGAGGGCATCGGTCCCGGAAGGGCCCGCGGGCCGGGTGACGGGCTACCGCCACGCTCCTAATGGCGGCCGCGACCGGGCGGAGGGGAGGGGAGCGGGGTGCGTGCGTCATCAGCGTGCGCCGCGCGGGACCGGGGTCGGCGTGGGCTGTGCGCCGAGGTCGCGTTCTGATGAGCTCACAGCCCGTGGACTCGGCGCCGAGGCAGCTGGCCCCCTGGAGAGGCCGCTGGTGGACGCGAGCCGCGGCCCCGGGGGCGAAGTCGGTCGGCGTGGCGTGCGGCGCCGCGTGATAGCCTCGGTGCGCTGTGCTGAGCGCGCCCGGGCTTCCCCCGGGCCGCCCCCGGCTGCCGGGCCTCGCTGCTCCCCCTTCCTGCCCCGTCTAAGTTGGAGCGGTCTCTGAGGAGACGTCCGCTGGCAGGTGTGGACCAGCCCTGGGTTTCACAGCTGCTGGGACTGCGGCGTTCGGACCCCGGGCCGCGGGCGGGGGCTCAGATCCCAGCGCCTGCGGCACTGACACGTCGCCCACGGGGCCTCCCGGATGGACGCTTGTTCAAGTCCCCGCTGCCCTTCCTGCCCGCGAGAGGGACGTGGCCTGGCGGCTTGGGTCCCCGTCACGACGGGGGGGCCTCCGGAGAAGCCGTGCGACCCTGGGAGAAGGGAGGAAGTCAGGTGTCAGAGCTTTGTAGTTCCTGTCCTGCAAGAGTCGCAGCAGCAGGAGAAGGCTCGGAATACCAAGAGGAGTGGAGGGGCAGTAACGCCTGGAATGTGCCCCTTGAGGGCCTGCGGAAAGCAGGCATGCTGGACGTGCTGCTGGCGGGAAGGAGCTAGGAGGAAAGCTGGGGAGTGCCGAGGTGCAGGGACGCGTCTGGGGATGTAGGGACATAGCACTTAGCCTCCAGCTGGAACCTTTCCCGCCCCAGGGCGATGCCCGGCTGCCTCGGGCTTGGCCCTGCGCTGCTCGGGCTGGACCGGCCCTTGTCTCTGTGACCCTGGCAGAGACCGAGTGACTCTCACCTGTAAATTGCCGTGGCCTCCGTGCTCTTGGAAGTTTGAATGTCCTCTTTTTACATTTCTGCCTTCTGCACTGCGTGAGAACTTGACACCATCCCGCGTTGATTCCTGCCCACTTCTGTGAATCTCGGGGTTGAGGCTGCAGAGCTGGGCGCGGAGGGCCAGTAAGGCAGTCGGGCACTGTGCAGGTCTCCATCCGCCGGGAGACAGAGTAGAATAAGCCGCTCTTGGTGATGGTTGCAACTGCTCCCTTGACGGCAGCGGCTGAGTGTGAGTCCTGCCTTTGTCACGTGGCCAGTTAGTTAACCAGCCTTTCTCCAGTTTGTTCATCTGTTAAGATTAGGGTCGTGGTGGCGTTCACGTGACTGTTACCTGGCGCATGTGAAGGGCTTTCAGTAATCTGCCCAGATGTGGCTGCTGTTGTAATCAGCGTGTCTGTACCACTTAGGTTGCCCAAGGGCAGAGGTGCCTCGTGGCTCTCGCCCCACCTGGCATCCTTTATAGCAAATAGTGCTGCTTCGGTATGTGCTTATTGAGTGCAGGAATCGATTCTCTGCTTGCCAGTAAACGCTTCAGAAATTCCTTTTGCCTGTTGTGAAATGTGGCCATGGCCGCCCAGCGAGGAGTGGGACAGGGGACCGCAGGAGCGCCTCTCTGGAACGCTGCATTGATGGGGGTTCAGTGGCCCCCGGCTTCCCGGGGTCTCGGCAGTCCTGGGAGCTGTTCCCTCAGCACTGGGGAGTGCTGCGCGGAAGGACAGCTTTGTATAAGTGGGGTGACTTGCTACACTGTTCACGTTAAACATTGTGTTTTTACCTAACAGTGCTGTTTGTGGTTTTTCGTGACTTAGGAGGCGGAAGGACTAAGGGTCCACAATGGGAAGAACCTACATTGTAGAGGAGACTGTTGGCCAGTATCTGTCAGACGTCGGTCTCCAAGGAAAGGCCGTTGTGTGTGGGCTTTTAGTGGGTCAGGTATGTATCCGGATGCTGTTACTGATGAGGTGAGTGCCCTAGGGCTGGGAGATGGTGCTCACTGGGGACTCGGACGGCAGGAGGTGGGACACACCCAGGCACAGTCTGACCGTGTTGTGTGTGATGTGGGCGTCCCAGATTTGAATCCTCACTGACCAGGTGATGTACTCTGTCCACGATGCTTTGCATTCCGTTCTAAATCTTCACCAAGGGGACTTCAAAACGATTCATGGGAAATGCGTATTGTAGGAAGAATTACGCATGGGTTTCAAGCATTTTTTTGAACCATAGTTCTTGGGTCTTAACTCCCTGCCTTCAAAGACGTCCACTCGTGTTAGTTCTTCATTGTCCAGTTCTCAGCCGGTTCTTATTTCCGTTGTAGCTTGTCTTGCGGGGTCTCCGACATGTAGCGACCATGGTTGTCTCATCATCAGGAAGCACTGGGAGTCAGTTCTTTTTTTTTTTTTTTAAAGATTTATTTTTATTATTGTTTTATTGGAAAGGCGGATATACAGAGAGCAGATATACAGAGAGGAAGATCTTCTGTCCGATGATTCACTCCCCAAGTGAGCGCAACGGCCGATGCTATGCCGATCCGAAGCCAGGAGCCTCTTCCGGGTCTCCCATGCGGGTGCAGGGTCCCAAAGCTTTGGGCTGTCCTCGACTGCTTTCCCGGGCCACAGGCAGGGAGCTGGATGGGAAGCGGGGCTGCTGGGATAGAATCTGCACCCATATGGGATCCCGGGCGTGCAAGGCAAGGACCTTAACCACTGCACCACAGTGCCGGGCCCGGGAGTCAGTTCTTTAAGTTTTATTTTATTTGGTAGGCAGGGTTACGGAAAGATAGAGAGATCTTCCATCTGCTGGTTCACTCTGCAATGGCTGCAGCATCCAGGGCTAGGTCAGACTGAAGCCAGGGCCCAGGAGCCTCTTCCTGGTCTCCCACACGGGTGCAGGGTCCCAAGGCTTTGGGCCGTCCTCCACTGCTTTCCTGGGCCACAGGCAGGGAGCTGGATAGGAGCTGGGCATCCGAGATTAGAACTGGAGCCCATATGGGATTCCAGAAGTGCAAAGCAAGGACTTTAGCCGCTAGGCTACCATGCCAGACCCCTAAATAAATTTTTTATATTCTATTTTTTCCCCTTTGTTTGAAAAGTTGAAAGGAATGGGCCTTAAGAGGAAGGTGTGATGGGTGAGCTGGTTGTGTGACATCAGCTAACTAGCATCTTCAGCCTTGTTTCTACTCTGTTGGAAACTTTCAGTGCGCTAAACCTGGGCTGTCGGATGTCCTTCCCTACCTTGCCCCCCATTTATCTTGAAGCCTCCCATGTGTAGGTACCATTTCACAGCTAAAACATTGAGGAACATAAAAGCAGGTGTGTGGCCTGGTAGTTGAGGTGCTATATGCTACATCAAGAGTGCCTGGGTTTCATACCTGGCCCCAGCTTCCAGTTCCTGTTTCCTGCTAATGTGTACCCAGGAGACAGCAGGTGGTATCGCGGGTGGGTGGGAACCGAAGCCCTGACCCCAGCCCTGGCTCTGACCTCAGCCCTGGCCCTGACCCCAGCCCTGGCTCTGACCTCAGCCCTGGCCCTGACCCCAGCCCTGGCCCTGACCCCAGCCCTGGCTCTGACCTCAGCCCTGGCCCTGATCCCAGCCCTGGCTCTGACCTCAGCCCTGGCTCTGACCTCAGCCCTGGCTCTGACCCCAACCCTGGCCCTGACCCCAGCCCTGGCCCTGACCCCAGACCCCAGCCCTGGCTCTGACCTCAGCCCTGGCCCTGACCCCAGCCCTGGCTCTGACCTCAGCCCTGGCTCTGACCCCAACCCTGGCCCTGACCCCAGCCCTGGCCCTGACCCCAGCCCTGGCCCTGACCCCAGCCCTGGCCCTGACCCCAGCCCTGGCCCTGATCTCAGCCCTGGCCCTGACCCCAGCCCTGGCCCTGACCTCAGCCCTGGCTCTGACCCCAACCCTGGCCCTGACCCCAGCCCTGGCCCTGACCCCAGCCCTGGCCCTGACCTCAGCCCTGGCCCTGATCTCAGCCCTGGCCCTGACCCCAGCCCTGGCCCTGACCCCAGCCCTTGCCCTGACCCCAGCCCTGCTGATACAGGCACTTGGGGAGGCAACCAGGGATGAGAGTCTTCCTCACCTTCCCCTGACTGTCTCCTCTCCCTCTCTCCCCCTCTCCCCTCTCTCTCTTAATTAAAAGAGACTATTAAGAACGTAGACTGTGGTGTCACTTGGCTTACATTGCCACACTCCCTTGTGTTATTTAGTCGATGCATTTGTGCAGGCTCCCTGCTAAATTCAATTTCAGCAGGAAACTCAGCATCATTTGTTGCTTTGTTTTGCTCAGATTTCATGGTTGATAAACATACAGAATGTTTATTTAGAAAATTTGCTAACCATATTGTTTTAATTAATGCAGTTTATTCACTCATCCAGTAAAGCATTTTTAAGGGCCACGGTATGGTTTACATTCAGGATGCCCCAAGCAAGAACCTGATGTTAAATACCTTAAAAGATAAACAACGTATGAGGGAAATAGTATAAAGCTATCTGTGGAAATTAGTTTCTCTGCAAATTGCATCGTAATGTGTGCTAAAGCTATTGCTCCGTTTTGTGTAAGTGCTAAGCTACTCAACTCCACAGGAAGATGCATTTCTCACAAGCTTTTATGATTTGTTCCGAAGTGTTCCCCCCAAAAGGATTATGTGATCCTTGCCGCGAGGACGCCACCCAAAGAGGAGCAGCAGGAGAACCTCGAGCACCCCCAGGCTCAGCTGGATGAAGAATGGGCCGCAGAACACGCCAACCAGGTCATCTGCTTTGCCTCATTGTGTAGTTAAGTTCCTGTAGGCTTGAATTCTGAAAGATGCGCTCTGTTCTCAGATTAACTAGACCAGAATTTCAGAACACTTTCTCAAGTTTTCAGAATTGAGTACATCAGAAATAGAGCTATCTTCTACACCTGTTTCACTTACGGCCTTGTTTTCTGTTTATCTGTGTCTAATGTAAATAGAATGTTCTGGCTTGTGCAAGGGGCAGGGCTGGGATCTGCCAGAGCAGCGCTGAGCTGCCCTGCCTGACCTCATTGTTAAGGTCTGTCTACCGTTAGTTTAACATTTAAGCAGATTTAAACCTCATGCCACCTTTTTTTAGCTTGTTTCCAAGCTTTCTTTAAAGTAACACTATTGGTAACATAATCGATGGTGAAGTCCTTGTTTAAATGTCCTTGGAGAATTTACATTTTAGCCAAAAAGAAGGGCTTGTCAGAGCTGACTGGAAGCATTGAGGTAAAGCAGGACTGTGGGACGGCAGGGACACACACCGAGCCTGGCGGGGTCACGGGTGTGGGAGGCCGCTCCCAGGCAGACCTCGGGGCCTGGCTGCTGGATGGCTGTGGAGAGCAGTCCTGAGGCGTGTGCCACACTGCAGCTCTGCGCTTGGTAGTTTGCCAGGAGTTAAAAAGGAATGTGGGTATTTTGGTTGCGCAAACACGGAGGGCATAGAAACCATGGAGAGCTGGAGACAAACCAGGGAGCGTGTAGTTACGGGGAAGAAGGCAGTCCACACTGGGCATTGGGAGCTGCGAGGCCCGAGTTACTGCCGCGGCCTGCGTGGCCAGTACCTTATATTGTGGTTTACGAGAGCCCCGGATGCTCTAGGAATGAGCAAACCATTACTTAGCCGTAACCTCATTGCCAAGTCATTCTGAAATGAGCCGAAATTTAGTGACTGAAACGTGAAAGAGAATCAGGATTTCATGACGAGGCGGATGGAGAAATGTCTAGATGGAACATGTCGGGACGAGGTGCACAGGATGGTGCTTGATTCCAGAAGAACTGACTGGAGGGATTGTTTCATCCGGCAGAGGAAATGCTAGAGTAATAGAAAGAGTTACTCCTTTTTTAGATCAACTTTAAAATCCTTACACAGGGGTGTGTGTGTGTGTGTGTGTGTGTGTGTGTGTGTGTACGTTCGCGTGCTTGTGGGGTGATAGTGGGGATCTAAGACAAATCCAAGGACCACGTAACTCCACCTTCCGAGGAAAACGGTGGTCTGTTAGTAGTTTAGAAATTACTTTTTTACTCTGCTTTTGATCCACTATGAATTTCTTTATGATCTATATGTTCATATGTATACTGTATATAGATTCCTTTATTATATAAATAAAAATGTCGCAATGCACATATATTCATATACTCACACACACACCCCCTCCGAGTGGGGGAATGTGAATTTTTTACTTTCACAAAGAAATGGTTCATTTTATGAAAATGAATTCCCCTTTTGCAAAAAAAAAAAATTGTCAAATATGTGTTACTGTAGCAAATAGAGCTTATGAGATGAAAGCATCTTCAGATGTAATGCACATATTGCAGGATTAGACCATCATGTCGGAGGTGCTAACACAGTAAGCATGCCGGAACCAGCGGGGCATCCGAGCTGCGTGCGCAGGAGCCAGACCAGCCACGTGCAGCGAGGCAACAGCTGCACAAGCGCTGAGAGCACGCAGCCCAGACCTTACCAACACTTCCTTGGCTCGCTCTCCAGCACACGGGATTTGCGCTGGCAATATAGTCTTGGGAGCACCAAAGACTTAGGAGGATTTTTAGTCTGTCTGATTTTTTTTCATTCATTTAACATTCATTTGTTTGTTGGGAAGAGCAATAGAGAGGGCAGGGTCTCTGTTTCCTGGTTCACGGGACAGTTGGGACTGGGCAGGCAGGAGCCGGGTGTGCCATCCAGGCTGCTCCCAAGGCCTGGCACCTCATCTGGTGCCGCCTCCCAGGAGTACATGCACAGGAAGTGGGATCAGATCCAGAGCAGGGCTGGGCCCGGGCACTCTAAGGAGGCATGCACTCCAGCGGTGGCTTGATGTAAAGAAAACCTGAGTATGACATAAATACCGTTTCTTTAGTTTTACATTTTTAGGTAAACCACAACCATAGGGAGCAATACATTTTCAAGCTAGACTCCATTAAGGATGCAAAGTGGTTAAGAATTGTCTTGAGGCCAGCATGGTGGTGTGACAGACTAACCCTCTGCCTGCAGTACAAGATGGCCCAGGTCTGAGTGTCTGCACTCACTGGGGACCTGGAAGAAGCCCTTGGCTGCTGGCTCCAGCTCAGCTCCAGGGAGAATGAATCAATGCATGGGAGATCATTTTCTCTCCTCCTCCTCTCCAGAAATCTACCTGTGAAATAAAATAAATGTTAGGAAAAAAAAAAAAAGACTTGTTCGCTCGGGGAGCTCCCTGTTCGCTCGGGGAGCTCCCTGACCCGTGGGTGAGGTCGCGGGTGAGCAGACTGCGGAGCTCCACGGGAGTCAGCTCCAGAAGCCAGCCTGGGAGCCGGGGCGTGCACGGGAGGCCGGCCCTCCGCAAGGCAAGCAGGAGGTGCAGGGAGAGCAGTGTGTCCTTGATGCTCCCTGAATGCTCTGCAAGGTCGTAGCTCATGAACCTCTGCGCTCTACGCCCAGGGTGCTGGCACGTCTGAAACATCATCTAAGAGTAAACTTTTGGTTTATTAGCTGATAATGGATAGCTTTTGAAAAAATTCTAGAAGATAAAGTGGATCTAAGGTAAAAGGAGAGTCTGGGAAGATTGCATCCACATGACAACCACTCATATGACACCTGCCGCTCAGTATTTTAACCTGAGCGTTGAGGCAGAGCCGTCTGTGCTGTGCGTGTGGTCAGCGACCAGGAGCTTGCGGCTGCCCTGTCCAGTTTCAGGCTCCCGAGAAGGCGGAGTGCGGATGTCGGCTAAGGCCGGTCTCTGTTCCAGGTGTCCAGAATGTTGCCAGGAGGGCTGTCGATCCTCGGGGTGTTTATTGTCACAGCTGTGGGACTGACAGACGATCTCCAGCACACCCTGCGCAGAGTGAGTGCAACACGCTAGAGCTCAGTAACGTCAGGGTTGTACGTGTCTGCTTGATTCTGTGCCGTGATCCCGGTCGGTTAGTGTCCACTAGGTGGTTTTTGTGCTGCGATTACTTTGTGTAGCTTTACTTATCCGGGTACTTGAGCATCTCAAATATTCTAAATATGTGTATTTCCAGCAGAAAATTGAGTCATCAGTCCAAATATAACTGTGAAGGTGCACGAGCTATTTTCGGGCAGACTCTGTTATATCTGCGTCCTAAGGGATGTGTTACACCCCAGGAGATGGGGCTCAAAATGTGTCCCCCCCCCCATATTGGAAGTGTATTTTTTCACTACTGGGACTTTTTTACTTGTAATTTATAAGATCCATGTCTTGTCTGCCTTCACTTAATAAGTCCTTTGAGGCGTTTAAATGAAAACTGCTGAATGACGGACAGGCTTTGTTCTTGTCATTCTCTCACCTGATGCTCCCCTTGTGACTCACTAAGGCTTATGGCCCCCGAAGCCTCAGAGGCACCTGACCCTCCCCAAGGTGGTGTCTGCTGTCGGGGAGACGGCCTGCTTCCAGGGCGAGGCCTGCACACCCCACAAGGCAGTTAGCTCACCGTGGGCTTCGTCCCGTAGGCGGGTCTTCCCAGATATGGCTCTGAGCCCTGTGTGTCCGAGCTTGTAGCTGCCCCTGCCCGTGGCAGCAAAGCTTTCCCTCCTGTGTCCATGTTACCTGAGAGAACAGACCTGCTTCCCTCTCCTTGGGGGCCTCAGCCCTGGAAATCACTTCCCCTGGTCTGATTTGCTGCAAATAAATTAGTTTGTGACAGTTCCTTTTGATGAATATCTTCATTGAACTTGCCAAGAATTTGGGATGGATAAAATTGATGTAAATGCTAGTTGTTCAAGTTGAGTTTTTGTGTCCAGCTGCTCATGTGTGACTGGGGTTACGTTTCTGTATGCAAAGTCCAGTGTTGTGTTTTATGGCCAGTCAGGAGCTTAGGGACATTATGCTTGCCTTTTTCTACACTCACCTCTGGGGTTTTTGCTTGTTTTTAATTTTTTTTTTTCCATTTTTGCACTCAGTTATGTGTTTTGCTCTTGTCTAGCTGCTGTTTGCTGTGGAGAAGTCTGTGAGCAGGAAGAGGCTGTGGCGCTTCGCGGACGAGGAGGTCTCTGAGCGGGTGGCTCTGCTCTTGTGCTCTGCCTCCAAAAAGTATCTTTTGTCAGGTGTCTGTGGTTGAAGGTGTGCGGTGCTGGGATGATGCGCCCTCGGGCTTCAAGTCGTTGCTTAAACATAGACTGCATGTAATTAAAACTGCCAGTGATGGAAAGCAGTCATATTTTGGCTGTTATGTTCCAGGGCTATAAAAAGTTGAGAGAAAACAGCCAACTCAGGATTCTGAATTCTTTCTCAGCCTTATATTCAATATTCCAAGCACAAAAGGTGTCCTGGAGAAAGAAATTTCAACTGACAGCTTAAGCAAAAATCATGTTTTATGCTAGATCATTCACCTTCACTCCACAGGTGTGCTGTGCTTGAAGGTGTGGGACATCCGGGCAGTGCTCAGGTATTTGGCTCTCTTCCCGTGTCTTGTAGCCACGACAGGCCCTTAGCCTGTACCTGGCCTGTGCAGCCTCACCGAGGAGCGACACAGCCTAGGGCCCAGTAATTCAAGACTGTCGGAGACAAAACTCAGAAAGCGGTCGCTCCTGCAGGAGGCGTGGGGAGAATGCTAGTCTGCAGGCCTTTCCGCCTGGCCAGCGTGTGAGCCTGTGTGTTTAAGGAAAGTTTCATGTGTGCTTTTGTTTCTACTCGTACGATCAACAGGCGCTGTGAGCAGCAGGATGTAGCTGTCAAACAGTGTGGGGAGAACCGTGTGTGTGTGTGTGTGAATGCACATGTGTGATTATACATCTACATGTGTGTTTATACATGTTGAGGTTTCTGAAGCTAGGATTTTGTGGGAACTCTTGGACACATACATTTATATTTTGATGTATATTCTGCTGATTATCAGAAATTGTTCCTTTTTTGTTCATTTCTGTCCTTAATTAGTGAAGATTAGTTTGTCGAACCTACGATGTCCGTGACCCAAAGGTAAGAAACATGGCTTCTGGAGAACGTATCTGTGTTTACGTATTTTTAAGTTCAAAGTCAAATTTGCTTTAATAGCTTTCAGTGCTGTCATTCCTTATTGGTGTCTTCGGCCACTTTGATGTTTTTATTTTGAAATGTGATTACAAAGATCTTTTTTTAAGTTGAAAACTTTTTTTTGTTAAGCTGATTTTGCCGTGGTTCTCTTTGGTTTTGCTTGTGGGAGAGTGATAGCGAAAGTGGTGGATGCAGTGCTGGTGAGGCAAGCTGCTTGTTCACAGTGGAGCCTAGATTGGCATTTTGTGAAGGTGGTCCCACAATCCTGTGGGCACGGCTGGCAGAGAACCCATGTCTGACCCTGGGGTGGCATAGAGATCACCTGCTTTGTGTCAGAATCTTCAGAACTGGCACTGTGAAAGCTTCCAGGTGCAGACTAGCAGCCTGCAGGCTGTGTCAGAGTCCCGTTCCTGCAGCCTTCTCCCCTTCCCCTGCCTGCTGCTGGGTGGCGGAGGGGACTTGCCTGAGTTCCGGCTGTGTCGAGGAGGACAGAACCTCATGTGGCCTTTAACTCGGTTCTGATCTGCTGCCTGGGGTCAAGGGGTTGGGTCAAACATGTGGGATACCAACTTGGATGTGATGTCCGTCCTCCCTGTTTCGTCGACCATGTTTTACCTGAGTGGCATCACGTGTTACGTTTTTCTCCCTTCCCGGTGCTGAAGAGCTCCGCGAGGCCGGCGGACTGGAAGTATCAGAGTGCACTCTCCGCGTCCTGGCTCTGCTTGCAGGGAACCGTGCACATCAACATTCACATCCCGCTCTCGGCCACCTCTGCCGGCTACGCTCTGGAGAGGAACACCAGGGTACCGCTCCGGTGATTCCTTCCGTGGGAGATCTTGACGGTGGTTGTGCTCCTCAGAAATTATGTTCTCTCTAGTGATGTTATATGACTAACTTGCTATCATATCCAAATTATGAACTTCTTGGAGGTGATGTACTAACAATATATTTAACACAGTAATCACTTAGTATTTATTTACGTGTGCAAAATGTAGCTACGTGTGAAGCCGTGTTGTTTTGTCTTCCGGCTTTCTCTTGGTACTTTATTTTTGTCCCACAGCCTTGTGTACTGCTTCATAAACCTGTTGGCTGTTTGTCTCCTTTGCCTTTTGTTGTTAACATGATGGCTGTATTGGATTTTATTTCACTGTCATCATTTGGCTAACCCGTGTCCTGAGCCTTTGGTATAAATAATGGTTTGGCATGCAGAGCAGAAAAACTGATAAGTGTGAGGGAAGGCCCTCAGCTGGGGCTGCCCTGTTGTAATGTGTAAGTGTGGATTTAAGCGTGGCATTAGTGGTACTTAGGAAGTATTCATATTTCAGTGTGCCAGATGGAAAGAGTAGACTGAGGAGTTTAATTGTGATGGCTTCATGTCTGAAAGCTTTCCTTGTTGTGTTTCTCTTAAGAATGGACTCACACGCTGGGCCAAGCAAATAGAAAATGGAGTGTACTTGATCAACGGACAAGTGAAGGCTGAAGACTGTGACCTGTTGGAGGGACAGGTGAATTAGTAGAAAATAACTTTTTGCAGTTATTTGTTCTTAAGAAAGAAGACTTCTTTTTAGTCATTGCCTTTGTGAGAACAGATTTCACTGACTTAGCGTTCCTAAAGTCCTTAAAGAGCAAATATTTTTCTCCAAAAAGAAAAGATTTAGTTCTGGGAGAAGATTTTGTTCTGATTTAACTGGGGTGCTGCAACTTGAAGTAAGGATGTCGTTTTGTCTGTGAATGCCAGCTCATCCCCGTGCTGTGCACTGCTAACTAAGTCAGCTGCTACCACTGTGCTTGTGCAGCAGCTGTCCGGCAGGAGTGGCGGCCGAGGCTTCCACGGAGCAGGGGCTGGGGTGGGATCGGGAGCCGGGGCTGGGCTGGGGTGGGATCGGGAGCAGGGCTGGGGTGGGCTGAGGCTTCCATGGCAGCCTCGGGTCGGGAGCAGGGCTGTGGTGGTGGGATCAGAATTCTCCCAGGGTGAGGCAGTGCATATTTTAGACCTTCCAGGCCGTGTGGTCACTTTGCTCTGGCAGCAGGAAAGCCAGCAGAGATGACAGGGTTAAGAGTTTAGTGTGGTGTGGGTTTGGCTCACCAAGGACATACAGGTTGGTAACAGCATACACTTGTAAAGTAAGAGATCCATGTAAAAAACTAAGCCAAAGTAAATTGTGGCTTATTTTTCTGTTAGTTTATTTAGTATATGTAGGGTTGTTTCTAAACTGCCTTTTAAATTGTAACAGCCTCGTGTTTTAACTTTTGTGTTTCTTCAGAAAAAGTCGTCTAGAGGAAATACTCCAGCATCTGGCCATTCTTTTGATGTCAGAGTGCTAACACAGTTGGTAAATATTTTAAGGTGGCATTTTTAAAATATAGTTTATTGGAATAACCACAAAGAAATTGTTTCTTTTTTCTGCTTGCTATTAGAGACTAAAACATTTTAGAAGTAGAAGAGACTGTACCATCCCCAATTACTAGAAAATTATTTCCAAGAAAATTTAAGGGAAGCTTTTTGGATCTTTTACCTCATGTCCATTAAAATTTTAATATCAAGTGAATAGCAGTTCTTTTTTTTTTTCTGAAGATTTATTTATTTTTATTGGAAAGATAGATTTATAGAGAGAAGGAGAAACAAAGAGAAAGGTCTTTTGACACTGATTCGCTCCCCGGGCAGCCACAACGGCTGGAGCTGAGCGATCCGAAGCCAAGAGCCCGGAGCTCAGCTCAGGTCTCCCTTGTGGGTGGCAGCCACCCTGTGACTGAGTCCTCACTGCTGGCTGTCGGTCTGGAGCTGCGGCTGAAACCCAGCACCAAGTGTGCGGTATGAGCATCCCAGAGGTGTCCTAACTGCCTCATGCCTGCAACCCCTGCGTCCCCCTTACTTCATTCCATTTTCTCATGAATTGTTTTATTCCTACTATGTACTGTAAATGTTAGATATTGTAAGTCATATAGGCATCGTTTCTGTAGTAAAGGTTGGTGGAGAGTGTGAGAGAAGCCTGTTCGCTCTCCAGAATCCCCACTCCATTCCTTGTCCGTGATCTCCGCCGTGTCCTGGGAAGCTTATTCCAGGTCCAGGGTGAGCGTTGTCACCTTGCTGCTTGCGCTTATGACACACAGACTTGTAATGGATCTGGGCCTTACAGCTGTTTGAACTGTGACACATTTTTACCAGCAAGTCCTTGATATTCAGAAAAAAGAAATACTAACCCTGGAGACCTGCCTTAGGCGTTGACTGTTGGTGCTGTCAGCAGCAGCGTGTTCAAATCCTTCCTGTGTTTCATCCTGTGTGTGGGATTTGCTTTTTATTCTTCAGAACTTACCCTATTATAAGATGTCTTAGTCCACATGTTCTTAAATTATTTTGTTAGCGTGTCCTGTTTTGTGAATTGAGTAATGTGTATTTTTTAATCACCATGATTAAACTTTTTTTTTTTTAAAGATTTATTTTTCTTATTTTTTTCATTGGAAAGGCGGATATACAGAGAGGAGAGACAGAGAGGAAGATCTTCCGTCCGATGATTCACTCCCCAAGTGAGCACAACGGGCCGATACTATGCCGATCCGAAGCCAGGAGCCTCTTCCGGGTCTCCCACACGGGTGCAGGGTCCCAAAGCTTTGGGCCATCCTCGACTGCTTTCCCAGGCCACAGGCAGGGAGCTGGAAGGGAAGCGGGGCTGCCGGGATTAGAACCGGCGCCCATATGGGATCCCGGGCGTGCAAGGCGAGGACCTTTAACCACTTGCGCCACAGCGCCGGGCCCCATGATTAAACTTTTATAGTCATAGTTTCCATTGTGACTGTACGTCTCTAGTAGCACTTTTTGTTAAAGATTTATTTATTTACTTAAAAGGCAGTTAGAGACAGAACAGATCTTCTGTCTACTTGTGCATTCCGCAAATGTCTGGAACAGCCAGGCTGAGGCCATCCTGCACCCAGGAGCCTGGAATTCCATCTGGCTCTTCCACGTGGATAACAGGGTCCAAGCACTTGAGCCATCTTCAGCTGCTTTCACAGGCACATTAACAAGGCACTGGGTTGGACAGGGAGCAGCTGGGACTCCACCCTGCGCTCATGGGGGTGCCATTAATCCCTTGCATCCCAGTGGAACATGAACGGTTCTGTATCCTCTGGCACTCAGAAGGACGACAAGCTTAAACATTTAGTCTGTAGTGCCTGAACACCAAGCAGACACTAACAGTTTGTCGCCCGACGGAGGTGGAATGTGAGTTTACAAGTGACTGCTTCTAGTCACTGCCATGTTTTCACAGTTCCTTGTTGACTGCTCTGAGATGAATGCATGAACTTAGTGAGTTGGAAGTGTATAAATGAGCCTTGTGTTTCCCTAATACTGCCTTGTATTCTAGTTCTTTGGGGGCGGATCTTCTGTTAGATACCTAGTATCTCTTACAAGGAGACTTTAAAAGCTCATGGACAGTGGAATTAAAAGGTGATGATTTTAATATAAAAACTTTTGAAGTCCGTGTATGCAGGGATCTTCAGAAAGTTTGCGGAACGCCTGTGTTGTGGAAACACTGAGTTCCTGAGCTGTTAGGGTTACTTTCTTCCCCATTTCTCTTTGTTAACTTTACTACCGTGCTGACCACGCCAAAAAAAAAAAAAATGCTGCTGCGTACGGATTTCAAAATGATTTTGTACTAAAACAAGATTATCTTTTGATTTCATTTTCCATAAACTTTTTAAAGTGCTCTCATTCATCTAGATAGTACTATCTGACTAATCTTCAAATGATATATTTTAGTTATGAATAGACTTAGTCATGTTTAATTTTTTAGTCTGCATCCAGTGACTGGCATTGTGGCATGATGCGTTAAGCCGTCTCCTGTAGCTCTGGTACCCCACATGCAGTTCCGGCTGCTCTAGTTAGGTCTAGTACCCTGCTAATGTGCTGGGAAGGCAGCGGGGAGTGATCCAAATGCTTGTGGCTGACCTGGAAGAAGCTCCTGGCTTCTGCCTGGCCCAGCTCTGGCCGTTGAGGCCACTTGGGAAGTAAACAAATGGACTCTGCCTTTGAAATAGATAAAACAAATCCAGAATATAATAATAGTAAGAAGAATAGCAAAGTATGACTTATAAATAACTGTTTGAAAGCATTTGAATAGTTTATGGAGAATATTTCAAATACTGGGCTTCGTGGTAATTCTTGTCCAGAGCTGGCTTATCTGGTGTGGGTGTCTCCTACAGTCAGTAATTGTTGGCACTGAAGCAGTTTTGTGTTTCAGCTCCTGAGTCCTGACCACAGATCCACAGCCACAGTCCAGATCTGCAGCGGCTCCGTGAATCTGAAGGGTGCGGTGAGGTGCAGAGCTTTCCTTCACAGCAGTAAACCCAAGGTTAAGGATGCTGTGCAGGTACCAAAGGGACAACTGGTCATGAGAATGAGGGCCTAGCCTAGGTGCTCCTCAAGTGGGACGTGTCAGCACATTTGTACTCACTTCTTTTGCAAGAATTTGAATTTTTTAAATAACAAAAGTATTCACAGGAAGACTTATTAGGGTAATATTCTGTAATCTTTGCAATACATATATTTCAAAATGATAATTGACATTTTTATTATACATTTCCTATTATGGAAAAAATACTTGTTTAAATGTGAAATTTTATTCATTTGCTTGGTTTTAATTTAGTAGTAGATAATGTTTGGGCAAACTTGTCAGAAAAATCAACTGCATGATTAAGCACAGTGAAAGCAATGTCAGTTATTTGGTGGCCATGATTACATTATATTGGAACACACATTTGTCTTTTTGGCAACTAAGTACTATAAATCTAAAGTGTTTTATTTATTCTTGTGTTTTATGATTGTTTCTGTTTTTCCCAGGCAGTGAAGAGAGATATTTTGAACACAGTGGTTGATCGCTGCGAAATACTGTTTGAGGATCTGCTTTTGAATGAAAGGCCAGGAAAAAAAGTTATGAGTATAACAGTAGTTGTCTTTGCATGAGCTCAGTTGATGCAGCAGTGGGATAATGGCTCTGTCACATTTTCTGGTTCCGTACCTCTTTTTTAAAACAAGATTATCCTTTGCTTTTATTGTTGAATCAAAAATTTCAGTTGCTCACCAGCCCTAAAATTGTTGAAACGGATTATTGCAAATCTCTTAACATTTAATAATTCCAGGAAAGATTTTAAAAATATGAGTTCTGAATAAATTTCCACTGAGAATTAGTAAATTGTGATGACAATTTAAAGAAAATGTGGTAGTATCTATCAATTTTTTTTTTCAGAAATGTAACCATAAAGCAGGTATTTGTTAGTGGTAGCCATTTTATAATAGATCTGTGTAAGCCATAATGATTTATATACCTCTCGGCTGTTACTGTATCATTAGATTTTAAAAAGGCAAAGTCATCAGTTCTTATCCTTTAATACACTATTCCATCTTTTTGGGAACATAATTTATGCCATATGAGAAATTTGTATTGAAGATATTGTGGTTTTTACCTGAAAAGAAAATTACAATAATGACTGCTTTTGAAACTGCACCCCCTAATTCACAAGTAACCCTGAAGTATGACTTGGCCGTAGCTCGTGTGTCCGACCTTCGTCATCACTGTAAGCCGCTCAGTCCTGCCTCACTCGGGGCGGTTAACGTCACTGGGAGTGAAATCACTTACCTGCTGCTCGCTGCTTCCCATCCACTTACCACTCCCCCCGGGACGGTGTTGGTAATCCTCTTTGCGAAGGTCGGCTCTGGGCGCCACTGCGCCGTGTAGACGTGAGCCCTGCCACCGCCCACTCTTACCAAGTGTGAACCAGGATTCTCATTTTAGCTAAGAGAAACGCAATTCCTACCACATTAGCTTAGATTGAAAATTCTTTTCTTTGTTTCGACTTCCCAACAGGGAATTCCTAAAATATTCCATAGAATACTATTTGAGATGTGTTTTTCCAAAAAAGATCCCTCGTCTCAGTTTTTAACTTCAAGCAGAAAATTGGTTGTTTTGGATACTAAATAGCTAATTTAATTTTTTAAATTTGAGAATATTAAGTTCTACTGTTTTTCAATGAATATTTGAAATCTGTAGCAACCAGTTCTTTAATATTTGATTTCATATCATGTTGTCCTTTCGTATGTAAACTCAGTTGATATTGTTTGAAATGGCTTTAAATTTTTTTATGCCAATTCTACTTGCACGATAGAATTGTATCTGTTGCAAGTGACTGGCTCAAAATATTAGTTTGAGTTTGTGAACAATTTATATTCTGTAGTACAAGCTGTAGTTATGTGATTCTGCAGCCAGGAGGCAGGCTGGTCAAGCCTTGTCTCACATGCAGATGAGATAATGCTGGGAGGGGGAGGTGCTTCAGTGACCTGTGAGTGTCCTGGCCCTTTCTACCATTGTTTGTAAACACAGGAAGCTACAATAGGTTCTTGGCAAATGAAATTTTCTCAATCTTTGTATTGGTGGCTTTCCAATCTTGCCTGTTGCTAACAGGCCTCAGAGTTTGTGTCTGATGGCTGCCCTGGTGATAAGCAGTGTTGATGTGAACTAGTGGGACTGTCTAGTTCGTAACTATTCACAAAATGAAGCATACTGGTTATTTAGATTTAAATCCTTTTTGCTAAGGTGACTTAGAACTTGTTTTTGAGGAGATATTATAAATATACAAGAGAAAAGTAAACAAAATAATAATGGAGCAGGAGTCAGCAGTGAGCCTTGAGCACAAATGTTTGCTTTCCTGGGGGAGGCCAGACACTGTCCTCCAGGCCTCCTCAAAGAAGGAAAGAGTTGGCTGTAAAAACCACAGTACTCAGAAAGTTAAACAGAACAGGAGCAGAATTCTCTGTTGAGTGTGGTGTGGCTCTCTGACGTCAGGGTCCTTCTCTAAGCCTGTGAGAGTTCCCTTTGCGTTTCCTGCAGAGGCTGTTGAGTTAGGGTTCAGCAGCATTGTGCCACACTAGTCAGCAGATGTCTTAAGCTTCATTTCAACTAGACTTTCACACGCTTCTAAACTATGTAGTCACTGCTACTAGTGACAAACCTGTCTAAATATCAGTAATGTTCCTTTTCTTTTTAGGTTCTGAAAAAGAATTCCACATCCTGCCTCACCGAGTTTTTGTGCCGATTCCTGGCTCTGCTGTCATGCTCTGTGATTACAAATTTGGTGATGAACCAGCTGAGGAAATCAGGGACCACTTTATGGAGATGCTAGACCACACGATTAAAGCAGAAGATTTGGAAATTGCAGAAGAACCAAATACAGGTAATTATATGATGTTGTTTTAAAACCTGTTAGGTCTGATTTAAATACTGTCACTTTAGATTTCCTTTAACTCTGCTTGACACTTCAGAATGCTAATTGAGGCATTTAGAAACATACCCAGTTAATCTATATAGGTAAATAGTGCTTTTCCGTGAAGTTGTACCAACACTTAAGCTGCTTCAGGGTTTTTCCAGCCTTGAAAGGTCTTGATAGAACAAGCTCCCGCCTAAGTAGGTGGAAGTATGCTCTGTGTCTTTAAGGTCAAGCTTTCAGACACTGCCTACCAGATAGCTTCCTCCTTGTTTGCCTTTCTGGTCATGACTTTGCCGTGTAATTGGGACAATAAGCTAAAACTGAGCAGCTCCAAACTTAGATCAAGATTTTTTTTTTTTGGAAAGTCAGATTCCTGGAAAGTCAGATTTACAGAGGGAAGAGACAGAAAGATTTTCCATCCACTGGTTCACTCCCCAAGTGATCGCAATGGCCAGAGCTAAGCTGATCCAAAGCTAGAAACCTGGAGCCAGAGCTTTTTTCCAGGTATCCCACATGGGTGCAGGGTCCCAAGTCTTTGGGCCAGCCTCAACTGCTTTCCCAGGCCACGAATAGGGAGCTGGATGGGAAGTGGAGCAGCCAGGAGATGAACCAGTGCCCCCTTATGGGATCCTGGTGTGTGTAAGGCGAGGACTTTAGTCACTAGGCTACTGTGCCTGATTACTTGCAAACTGTAGATTTGTGCTCCATCCAACCGAGTAACACATTCTTTTCCCCGGTCATCATTTCATTTGGAGAAATGTGTTTTATTTGGCTGTGTTTTGTTTTTATTTTTTTGAGAGCATGACCTGAAAACAGTGTAAATATCTAGGCTGTAATAATTTGAAAACATTTAGGAGGTGTGATAGAATGATTTGGGAGCAGGCATTCAGGCGCTTGTGTCTGCTGGTAGAATGCTTGCCTTGGATCCTGGCTCTGGCTCCTGGGCCCACCTGGGCAGCAGCGGGACAGCTCCTCACAGCTCCTCGGCTCAAGCAGCAGGTGCTGGCCGAGTGTCAGAGGACTGGCTTCAGCTTGGCCCAGCCTTGACGGTCAGGGCATGTGGGAAGTAAACCATTGAATGGCAGTCCTTTCTACTCCCTCACGTAAGTTAAAAGCAATTATTTGTAAATGTATACACATGGTAAGTGCAGGTGTTTATCATTCTTGAAGCTTTCAGCAGAATGTTTAGGTTACTTTTTTTTTTTTTAATTGGAAAGGCGGATATACAGAGAGGAGAGACAGAGAGGAAGATCTTCCGTCCGATGATTCACTCCCCAAGTGAGCACAACGGCCGATGCTGTGCCAATCTGAAGCCAGGAGCCTCTTCGGGGTCTCCCATGCGGGTGCAGGGTCCCGAAGCTCTGGGCCATCCTCGACTGCTTTCCCAGGCCACAGGCAGGGAGCTGGATGGGAAGCAGGGCTGCCGGGATTAGAACCGGTGCCCATATGGGATCCCGGGCATGCAAGGCGAGGACCTTTCTTTAACCACTGTGCCACCGCGCCGGGCCCCACGTTACTTTTTAATGTGCATTCATATTAGTAAAATGTGAATGTAGCGACTTTAGGTTCTTTTTCTAATTTTGCGTTTTTCTTTGCATAACCAGTTCTTCCCCCAAAGACGGAATAATTATGATTCAGAGTGCACTTGTGATTAGGATAAAGAAATATTTGGTAATTTCAGATCTGTCAGTAAAACATAAGTTAGTTGGAAGCCATCAACTTGAGGTTTTGGCATGTTCAGTTAGTATTGATTATGATGTAAAATCATAAGTTTGCTTTAAAGGAAGAAAGCAACTACCCTGAACTGCTAGTATGGGATATATAAAATAGCAACTATGCTTTGATCTTTGAAAATCAGTATTTTTAAAGGCAGCATTGTAGCTAGTTTCTTAGCAGGTGGACATATCTGCAGGTAGCCTGGTAAGAGGTCTGCGGCTTACTCCAGTTGTGTTTCCCAGGTCATTCGTTGCTTCGTCTCTTTCAACCAAACTTCCACAATGAGGGCATCTGTGGTATTAGGGCCTGGCAGTAGTTTTTGAGCTACTCTGTTGTTATGAACTTGGTAAGGTTGGTGGAAGTACTAGTGTAGCAGTCTCTGCATGGTGCTATAATCTGTGTCCTTAGAGATGGGCGTTAGGTCAGGTCCTTCTTTATCCCAGGCTAGGCCACCTCCCTGTCAGCCCTGTGCTGTTCAGGAACATGGAACAATGAGGTCTGGCCTTTTCCCTCCCGAAGGCCATGCTGTAAGGTTGAGGATAGTGTTATTTTGTGAGTATTTAAAAATTACTTATAGGGCTGGTTATGTGTGTGATTGTATAGGCGCCCATGTGGGAAGCCAAAGGAAGCTCCAGCTCCCGTTGCAGATGGGGTGAGCTTGGCTCTGGCTGCTGCGAACGCTGCGGGAGTGGGCTAGCAGATGGAATGCCTCTTTGTCTTCCCTTCTCTCTGCAAAAATGCGTCTTCAAAAATAACAAAATAAATAAATAAACAAAGCATTAAAAAGCATTTTTGGGTAGAGAAATTATTAATTTGAAAGACAAAGGTACAGAAAACTAATTTCCATCTATTGGTGCCCTTGTCAATTGCCCATAAATGCCAGACAGAACTAAGCAGAGCCAAATGGGGAGCCAGAACCTCCATCCAGACGCCCCATGGGTGAGAGAGGAGCCAGAACCTCCATCCAGGCGCCCCGTGGATGAGAGAGGAGCCAGAACTTCCATCCAGGCGCCCGTGGGTCTCCCAAAGTCTGCAAGAGCTCAGAGCTGGAGTTAAGAGTCAAACCATGCAGTCTGGTGTAGGCATCTTAATGCGGGGTTAAGATGAGATCTGTATCTTTGAGAGAGTGCTTACTTAGGAAAAAGTGAGAACCACCCTGAAGTGGTTTGTTTGACTTACTCTAGTATGACTTAAGTCTGTAGTCTAGTCTAGACTTCGTGTGGACATGTATGTATCTCAACATTGGGAGACTGTCTGAGAAATGTGTCAAGCATCACAGTGTACAGTCTGTCCTTGCGACCTGATGGATCCTCCTGATGCCAAGGAGACACTGACCATGAAGTCTGTGGGACATGGGGCTGTCACTGGCTTCCTGTTCAACTGTTTATTCAACTGTTTGTTGTTGAAGCTGTTTGTTTAATAAATAACAGCAAAAAGTACATAAGTGAGCAATCTTTATTATCACCATCAATTATCATGCACTCTACGGAATTGTGTAAAGTGTCCTTTCATATCAGTGGCCATGGAGCAGTTCTGCTTATCCCAGCACTACCATAAATGATGTGAGAATACATTATACTGTGATGTTAGGATGGCTATACTGTCACTAGGCAATAGCAGTGTTTTGGCTCCATGGTTATGTGGCAAGACCGCTGTCATCTCTATGGTCCAGGATTGAACATGGCAGCACATGACTGTATTGTAACTATGATGATATGTGCTAAGTACTAGCTTACACATTTTACAAATCCTAAGTCATTTAATCCTTCTAAGAGTCCTCTGATGTAGACACTGTTATAAAACCTGTTTTGAGATGAGAGAATTAAGGGTCAAAATGATTAAGCAGCATTTCCAGGGTTACCTTGCTGGAGATGTAGAACTGAAGTTTGAACTTAAGGAGATTCCAGAATCGTCTCTGTTCCCTTCCTGGCAGTCCTGTCTCCCTGCCTTTCTGCGGGAGCTATCCACAGCTGAGTGTGGTTGTTACCCATAATGTGGATACCTCACTCCAGCTTGTGAGATATTTTTTTCAATGTAAAAAGTGGGGTCACATTATCCCTCTATCTTGCTTATGTCTCTGGTTTCCCACATGGTGCTAGAACTTCAGATCTCATGTTATTCTCATACTTGTCAACTTCTTCATAACATTGGTAGTACATGTCATTTCTACACTAAGAGTGAGTAAGGGTGACACTATGCAGGATGTGCCCCATTCATAAATTAGTGTAAAATCAAATAAAAATCTGGGGGAGGACTAAAGAATGCCATCTACTTTAAGTATTGTTTTGACTCATTGCTCAGTGTCACGTATTTTTAAACATAAGATCATGTAGACTCGTTTTATTTTACCCAGTTTTTTTCTTAAGTTATGCTTTAAAAGGCAGGAAATAGTGCTTAACCTCAGTTGATAATGGAGGCTAAAGCCCTTTGTTAACACTACTAAAGCACTCTTTAGACATTCAGATAGCTTCCATTACTGCAGTGTATTCCTGCAGAGGTGACCAAGGTGGCTTTGTATGACAGTGTCCTGCGAAGAAAGCAGAAACCTGCTAAGTTCAAATTCCTCTGAAGGCATTCTGTGTGCATTTCTGCAAGCATTTACTGATGCAATGGCTCAGTGGCTAAATCCACAACTTGTAAGCAACAAGAGCCCATATGAGTGCTCATTCATGTCCCAGCTGTTCCATTTCCCATCCAGCTCTCTGTTAATGGCCTGGAAAAGCAATGGAGGATGGCCCAAAGCCCTGGGATCCTGCATCTACGTGGGAGACCCAGAAGAATTTCATGGCTCCTGGCTTTGGATTGGTTCAGCCACAGCCATTTGGGGAGTGAGCCAGTGGATAGATCTTTCTGTCTCCTTCTCTCGATAAAATCTGATCTTCCTTTCCAATGAAAATAAATAAATCCAGGAGGAAGGACCTCACTTGGTTGCTCACAGTTGTGTTCCTAGCATTTGCGCATATCAACTACACAATGTTTGTTGACGAGACCAGTTACTGGTTTCATTCAGTTGGAGTCTAAAAATAATAAAAGGTTAGTCCTGTCTTCAAGGAGCTAAATAGAATTTTTAAAAGTGGTGAATTACTTAGTTGATTAATTTGAAAGGCAGAATTATAAAGAGAATGGGATAGACAGATCTTCTATCTGCTGATTCATGTACCAGATGGCGGCAGTGGTCAGGGCTGAGCCAGGTGTAAGCTGGGCCTCCCATGTGGGAAGAAAGGGCCCAAGAACCTGGGCCATCTTCTGCT